GCAATAGGTATAAAGGATAAACAGATTTTATTATTACACTTATTATAGTTAACTTAAATAGTTTATCTCTTACACAGATTGTTAACTAGTTATTCTATCGCTTATAGAATTAGTATTGTTTATCCTTTAGTTACAACGATAACTCTTTTCCACCTAATCATTCCATACATTACCTCACGGACTACCGCTTTAGTCTACCTCGCCTTAGTACGGACCGAGCTTAGAGAAGTATAGCCTAACCCCGTGTAACACCGCCATCTAAGGGACATTGTCTGACGTTGTTACGACGTGATGTCTGAGACAACGTGATACAACATGGTCTAGCTAGCATTCGTCGACAAACTCCTCTAGAGCACTATGAGTCGCATAGAAAGCTCCCTTTGGTTTGTAGTTCTCATCAAACATGAGGGGCTTTGCGCCTGGCACCCAAGTGTAAGCATGCTTATCAGTAAAGCCCCAGAAGTTGATATCGGTAATTCCTGCCTCCAAAGCCTCCTTAATGACGGCACCATAGATCTGAGTCTCGAGTGTTTTATTGAGTGTGTGCACGTCCATTTCAGCGATCTCGACTTGCAGCCCGAGCGCTTTGTAGAAACGAACCATGTCGGTTATCACGCCGGGTACCGGAGCCACTTCGGTGATGTGCATCTGCAGGGCAACTCCATCGATTGGAACGCCGTCTGCAACGAGTCCAGAAACCAGATCTTGGAGCTCTTGACGCTTGCCGGGAAGCACTTCTACTTGGTTTTCGTTGATGTATAACTTGGCTCCAGGGGACGCAGCCCGTGCGATGCGGAAAGCTTCGTTGATGTAGCCTGGACCAAGTTTTCTGGAGAAGTCATTCTCATTCAAGCCTCCACCCATAGTTTTGAGAGCCTCAGTGACCACGTCCCATCGGTCGATTTGTCCTTCGTACCGATGCATGATAGCTTCGAAATGAGTCGTCATCGCGGCACGCAACGCTTTGGGATTGGTGATGTTGACTACAAAGTCGGGATTGCAGCAGCTCGAGATGAGTCCGTGCCCTTTGACCAACATGTCATGTTCGTTGGCGAAGTCAACGAGACGGTCGATAGGATCCCAGTTGTAATGGCCTGGTGAAGGGTTGATGAAAGACCATTTCATCTCATTCTCAGGATGCAAGCTGTTGAATTGCTCAGCGAGGATAGCTGCGAAGATAGGATCTTCAAGGTATGTCGGGTTGATAGCTCCAGATCCAATCGTGATGTTCTTCTTATACGCCTCTTCTCTCAGCGATGTAGTGCCGGTGCTGGGGATTGCGATGCTAGCTTTGACGGCGGTAAGGAGTAACAGAGTGGTTGTCATGGTACCAAGAACTTTGAAGTTTGTGCCGAAAGCCATCTTGCCAGGTTCGCGTCGTTCGTATTGTTCGCGCTGCTTGTTTTTCGGTGCTATGTGCCTACTGTATGGGAAGGTTTGGTCGATTTATATATGAATGAAACACGAGTCTTGCCATGCTGCAGCCATGACATGGCTGATCCGCTGGAGTATTTTGAAGTCGGAGAATAGTACTATACTCGTCGACGGCACTTGCCAGATCACGATAGTGTGTACCTAGGAGGACATAGCGTACCTAGAATGGCGACAGTTGCGACCTTCCCAAGGTCGTGCGTGGTGTTGCATAGCCACTGAGCAACTGTAGACTCTGTATGGGGCTAATCCTATGTGTTAGGTCTACCGACCTAAGCTAAGGTAGGATGAGCCCCATATATACCCGGCATTTGCCATTCTTGGCATCACGTGACAGCAACGTTGGCCGAGCTGTGCAGCTAGTACATGGTCAACCATACTAGCAAGCTTGGTAGCTTTTCATCGGCAACCAAAATTGACTTTGGCAAGCTGGCGCTGATTGGCTGAAACCGGGATAGTGGCGGCGGTCACTGCTCGGTGACGCAACACACCCCTGCAAAAGCTGTGCTCAGCTCCAGACAATGCCAGTGCACATGCCTTCTAAACAAATACGCATACGCAGACGCATAACACCCTTTAGTGCTTTCTTTAGAAACCGTCTGATATGTCTCGTCACTCTTTTCGGCAGGCCATCCACTATCATTACTTCTTACTTACACCCTGAATATTCCTCATCGACACCATGGAACCGGAAAAAAGGCTTTCAAATTTCGCCGAGCTACCCGGTGATATACCGATAGATCACACGTCGAAAGGCCATGAAAGTACAGAGATGAATCGTGATCGAAAGGCTATAAGTCGAAAGCCTATAAATCGCAGCAGTTACCAGGAATCTTCTTCGATCAACGCATCAGCGGACGCACCCGATGATGGAAAGCTCAAGACCGGCAGTAAGACTCACAATTCCTCGATTCAGCTGAATTGAAACTCATGTTTTCTAGGCGATGGGCGCATCAACATCGATCTGAATTCGAAAGCTGTGAGGACGCTTTCGCTTCTCTACGGTGATGCTCTTAACGACATACCGGAAGATGCGCCACCAGAGTATTCAGGATTCCCGGTTGGGCCGGATCGCTATAAGTCGTGGCCTGTTAAGCTAAACATTGTCATCCAAGTTGTAGGCAGTCGAGGAGATGTGCAGCCTTTCATCGCGCTTGGTGACGAGCTTCGGCGGTATGGCCACCGAGTGAGGCTAGCGACCCATGACATGTTCCAAAATTTCGTGCGAGGCTCCGGTTCTGGACTAGAATTCTATCCGATCGGCGGTAATCCTTCAGAATTGATGGCTTACATGGTCAAAAACCCTGGACTGATTCCTAGTCTCGAGAGCGTGCGGGCTGGTGAGATCAAGAAGAAACAGTTGATGGTCAGGGAGATGTTGGAAGGGTTCTGGAGGTCATGCATCGCACCAGACATGATGAGCCATGAGCCATTCGTGGCAGATGCTATCATTGCCAACCCGCCAAGCTTTGCGCATGTCCACTGCGCACAAGCTCTTGGAATTCCTGTTCACATGATGTTCACTATGCCATGGACAAGTACGCGAGCATTTCCACACCCGCTAGCGAACCTGAAAAACGCCGAAGGAAAACAAAGCGCTGCAAATTATCTATCATATGGAGTTGTCGATTGGCTAACATGGCAAGGGTAAGTTGTTCATCCAAAGTGGACATAGCATTCCTCGTTGCACAGTCTAGACGATACTGACCTGGAATCTAGACTTGGTGACGTTATCAACCAATGGCGTCAGACGCTGGACTTGGAGGAGGTGGGAATGTTCGATGGCCCTAGTCTTGCGAACACACTGAGCATCCCCATGACTTACTGCTGGTCTCCGGCTCTTGTACCAAAACCCTTTGACTGGCCGGGCCACATAGACGTCTGCGGTTTCTTCTTCCGGGATCCTCCTCGGTACGAGCCACCAGCTGAGATTCGATCCTTCATTGAGAGTGGACCGCCACCCGTCTACATAGGCTTTGGCAGCATCGTTCTTGACGACCCTCAAAGAATTACCGCAGTCATATTGGAGGCTGTAAGAGCGAACGGATTTCGTGCGATCGTGTCCAAGGGATGGTCGAAGTTGGGAGATCACGGAGAGTCTCATGAAGATATAATCTTCATTGGTGATTGTCCACACGAGTGGTTGTTTCAACATGTGGCCGCAGTGGTACATCATGGTGGCGCTGGGACGACTGCATGTGGTTTGCTGAACGGCAAGCCCACGACTATCGTGCCATTCTTCGGAGAGTAAGTCAGAAAGTCCACTCCGTTGAGTCGGCAGATATGCTAATAATTCGATAGTCAGCCATTTTGGGGCCAGATGGTAGCTGCTGCTGGTGCTGGTCCGATGCCTATTCCTCAGCGGGACATAACTGCCGAAAGCCTGTCTCAAGCGATCAGATTTTGTTTGTCACCTGAAGCAGCGAGCGCGGCTGCAGTCATTGCACAGAAGATGCAATCCGAGAGAGGCGTCGAAGCTGCAGTTATGTCTTTCCATCGGAATCTCCCCATCAGAGACATGTCTTGCGATGTACTACCACACCTTCCAGCAACTTTCGGTTTTCACAAAAAAGGGCAAAAATGGAAGCTTTCTTCCTTGGTGACAGAAGTTATGGCACGAAAACTTCCTAAAGATGCCAAAAACCTAAAATTGTACGCCTCGCTCTTATCTTTTCGTGCTTGATTAGCATTTTCTGCATCCGATCGCTAATTAGTATACAGATACGAGAGCAAACCCATTACCATAGAGCCTCGTCGATGGGATCCCATCTCAGGTGGGGCGTCCGCAGTGCTTGCTACTTCGGTCGATCTTGCGACATGCGTTACAGGAGTTTTCACGAAACCAATAACGGAGTATCGAGACGATCGCGATCGACGCGCCTACGAAGAATCAAAGCTAGAAGCTTCGACAGCGTCCAATACCGGTACCAACCATATCGACCAATCGGCACCAATGTCTGACAGCGCAAGTGCTGAGACATCAGCAAACAGTGTTGTTCCGAAACGTAAAGCTATCTCAGCAGGTCAACTAGCAGGCGCGTCCGGAGCGAGCATTGGCATGTTTGCTCCAAAAGCCCTAAAGGGTATGATGGTCGACATTCCTCTCGCGATTACCGATGGACTCAAGAATGTGCCTCGACTCTACGGCGAAACGCCTCGTGACCACGGACCTGTGACAGGTTTCACGAGTGGCGCAGCTGTTGCAGGCAAGACCTTCGCGTGGGGCTTCATGGAAGGTGTCAGTGACATTGTTGTAAAGCCGTACCAAGGTGCTCGAGAGGAAGGCTTTACAGGCGCTGCAAAAGGCGTGGGCAAAGGAATGTCTAGCATGGTCACAAAGACCGGTGCTGGCATGTTCGGTCTCCTTGGGTATACAAGCCAAGGCATCGCGAAAAGTTTGAGATCGACAGTCCACATGAAGACCAGAAAAATCATTGCTGAAGCGAGACATGCAGAGGGAAGGTGGTTAGTCGAGAACGACAAACATAACACGGAAGAGGCTGAGAAGATCATCATGCGTTTGCTAGCACGGAAAGGGGATAAGTGATGAGAATGGGACATGGGATTAGCGGGAGAGCGTCTTTCTGAAGGCGATGGGAACAATTCAACGCAGATGTTGGAGCGACTATATCGCTACCTACAGAGTGTTGAGAATTAGGTGGTTGCGCCAGCTGTTAGTGCAGAAAAGAATCGACGACTGCTTAATGGAGGTCGGCAGAGCATGGAAAGTCCAATATATCAGGTGTTCGACGTAGCTACTCTAGACTAAAGTGCTAGAGATCTAAGTCTTTGGTCCGGGTGGAAAATTTCGCGGAAAGAGAACCACGGTTCAACATCGGGAAGGAAAGTCTTGAACCACACCACGAGAGTTCTTGCCTACTCAAACCTACTTCTCCCTGCCACTTATAGCACTGCATCACTCAAGCACGCTCACATACAAACACGAATGCGCACGCACACACACATACACACACACACACACGCGCACACACATACTGATACGTACGCTTCGCACACGTTCCACTATGACATCTTCGCAACAGCCGCCTCAGCCTTCGTGAGACCCTCAAAATCCCGCGACATATCAGCGATTAGGGGTACCCGTACCAGATTTACTTCGAGTGCGAGAGCTAACATCCGTTAATCTAAGAATACCCCTTCCTACTACAAAACAGCATATCAAGAGCTATATTGATACAAAAAGGGGATTCAGAAGACTACAATGCTATTCGTCTTGACGAGTCTTCTTATTGAAAGGCAATGTCGGCTGTAAGCATTGTAGACGTGCTCTCCGTTAACCACCGACGGGTTGACCAGCGCAAAAAAGATGACAGCCACTTTCGCATCCCACCTACTATAGCAACATGAAACTTCTCGTTGAATCGCAAAACTAGCCACTTTGAACGACCTCGATGCAGCGAAAGACGCGTCTGTGAAGATCTGGGAGGCTTCCGACTGATGAGAAGGAGCCATGTTGTGTATTGTTATTGGTGCCTTCCACGCCCACTAGCGTGACATCTATAAAGTCAGAACCGTCCGTAGCACCCGTCCATCACTTCTGCACTCCAACACCGACTACACAAATCTTTCGAGCCTCCAACACATTATCACCACAAACTTCGCCACAGCCAAGAAGGCATGGGAAGATTACATGCGGCCATGCGACCGACTCCCCGAGGAAGCCGATCCGAATACAAGATGTGATCTGGCTACGAAAGCCTTGGGCAAGAGCAACGGAAAGCTCTTGGCCGATAAAAGGCCTGAATGGAACGACGAGCTACCAAGGTGGCTCTGGGACCAAGGCGTCGGCCTATGCACTGCGTTCGCGATCGCAGCAAACCAGTCGTCGAAGATCGAGGCGACATACAATGAATACAAGGGCAAACATAGAAATGCCACCAAGACCGACATCGCGAACAACTCTGCGCCCATGTTCTCCGGACTGCACCGAGCCTGGAGGCTACAAGAGCCCGCGACCCCCGGATTTGTCCCCATTTGCTATATTGTCTTTGGCGGGGGTAGTCTGCAACAGAAGGAGACTTACCACAATGTCGTCTCCCAACACTTGAAGACACTCCAATCATCTGAAGGAGAGATGAGAGACCGCGTTGTCTCTCAGGTTCTGGAGATATTCGCGCAGGCGCTGCAACTTTGGGAAAACCCGATGTTGTCAATTCGTGTAGAACTTCTCGACGATGGCAAGGTGCTTCGCGCGTGGCCGAGTTCTAGATATGAGATAGACTACGTAACACTGTAATCCACACGCCAACTTCATCCCGTTTTCACTAACGACCATTGACGTGACACTGATGTAAGATCGCCGGTGATATTGCCAGGTGGTCTTACGCTGCAAAACTTCGGCGTCGGGTTTCCTTCCCGAAATAGAGAAAGGGCACCAGCCACCTTCACTACCCCCTTGTCGTAGGTGTGGCACACCTGCTCAGCATAAAACTCTGCTACTCCCCTGCACATAACTTTTGACTCCTCTTCCACAATTGCTCAATCTCGCCGACTGTTCATGACTCCAGTATGTTGAACCGGAGAAGCACCGAATCCGGCTTTGCGTCTCACGTGCTGCAGACACAGGATGAGATGTGAGCAAAACCAACCTTTTGCGAACCAGTGGAAGTCATGAATCTGACAAGCCATCCCAGCTCTCGGTGCAATACCATGAACTCACCACTCCTACGTCTTCCAGCTGAAATCCGCAACATGATTTGGACCTTCGCCCTGGACCGTGGCCAAGACATTGAGTTGCTTCGTCACTCTGAACTTCGCTTTCCACACACGCTCCAAAATTATCTGAGTCTCCTCTTCGTCTGCCGGCAGATCCACGCAGAGACAGCTCTTCTTCCCTATGAGCTCAAGACCTTCAGTATGCTTAGCCCTGGTAGAAGCTATCTCGTCAGGTTTCTCGAGCGGAGGACCGTCGTGCAGAGGGAGGTAATGGCGGGTGTGAAGTGGTCGTGGTATGGGTCTGCGCCGGAGATGCACTCTGCGGTAGAGTGGTTAAGGATGAGTAGGGTTCGCAAGGATAGTTGGTGAATGGCTAGCGGATGTACTCGGAAAAGAGCTGCATTGTCTTCGTTGCGAATCAGGTAGAAGGTTGTCGCCTCTAGGCCGACAAGGAAGGCGTGAAGTGGTCGTTGTTAACTTGGTGTCGTGGTCATGCGCATTACCTCCAACATTGCCTAGTTAGGCAGCGCAGTTCTCCCAGCCTTCGAGGTTAGCAGCATACCATCTATCTTTGATTGGGCTCACAGAGCTTTCGAGCGAGTTGTGTTCGGCGATGGGGTATGATATGGTAGTCATCCAAGTTTTTGGTAGATTGAATGTAAATATTCTCAGTCTGCTAATGTCAAAAGCACTTGGTCTTTCAAAAAGTTGGTATACTTCAAGTCTATATTATGACCTCGCAGTATCGATCAGTTTAGCTTGACGAATGCTGTCAAGACTGCTGCATACGCTGCCGTCGCAGCCAATAGATTGACTGGATCCGTCTTCGCAAATAGTGCTACACCAACTGCAAACAGCAGTATCGACGTCGGGATGACCGCCAACGTCTTCGTCTTCACATCCCCCACAAGCAATATCAGCATCGAGACAACAATGATCATGCCACCAACGAACGCAGAAGCAAATCGTTTCCACGCTAGAACGAACTGTTCTCTTCGCTGTTCACTTGCGAACGCATGCGCGCGAGTTGTGCCTAGACTTTGTCCGAGCGCATTGCTGTGCTCCATGAGCTTCGGGTCGAAAGATCCGAGGAGATCCGCATCGCGGAACAGGCTGCGGTGAGTGCTCGGAACGGTGAGGTTGAGGTCCGGAATTAATGCGCCCTGGAGCTTGGAGCCGCTGCCATTGTCAATACGAGACGCTGCGATATCCTTCACGAATTGGGTAGACCAGCGGTTGGCGTGGATGAACTCGAAGTCACGGAGCGCATTGGCTGGGTGGGGTGTTAGGTAAGCAGGCCAGTGCTGTTAGCGTCAAGGATGACGTACTATACTCATGCAAGGTTCCTCGCATGCGACTCAACTGTTCATCTGTAATGTTTTCTCCCTCGACCTTTTGGATCTCTCGAGCGAGCTGTCGCTGCAGATCGTAGAGTGTAATGGTGTATAAAGGCCGGAAATCGATAACGGAGATGCCGCCTGCGACCCAGTGTCTTGCGGCACCCCGCAAAAAGCGGGTTAGACGCTCATGATAAGGAAGTTCAGCCAGGCCATCAAGACAATTTTCGCGAACAGCTTCTTCATTCTTGCCGTCGCTGCTTATGGAAGAGGAAACAGGGGCTGGCATCGTCGATTTGGACCCCAAAGTCGTGGAAACGACGACCGGTTTAATGTCCCAACGGAGGACTCCTACCGTCATCTACTCCCATGTCGCTATGCCCAAAGTCTGACCGCCATGGGGAGGATGACTTGAGGGCTGAATATTCCGGTCAGCCTAGTCACCCTTTGCAGCTGATGCGTGTGCAGGGTACCTCTGTGAGAGGCTGCACTTTGCGATGCGCACGTGCAATATTGCAGAGCATGGAGATTGGCTAGCCTCGTCGAGGGCCGAGCCCGCAATGCAGCCACATCCCGTTCCCGTCTGCCTTCGCCTGAATCGTCTAGCTGAGGGTAATGTGGCTGCACAACCCCGCAGTGACCACAAATCACAAGCAAGATACCTGTGGGGCGCTGTATGTTAGGAAGAGTGACATGGTGGGCGGCTTACCTTGCATCCCAGCGCATGCATAGCCCGATCTTCAGCCTCGTTGCAAAAACGCCACGAGATAGAGATAAGAACGACCAAACCCTGATGCGGAAGACGCCTGAATTCTCAGGACGAGTCCACAGGTTTGCCTACGCTGAGGTCCGATCTCAAACCAGAATGCTTCAGCCAATATTCGACCTTCTGATCATCATCATACAATACCTCCTGTCAGGATCGCTGAAAGGTGTCAACGTCATGTACCGTAGGTCGCCCAAATTATTGATTTTCATGTGTTCATATTTGACCTCCAGTGTAGAAAATGCCATGCTATGGGCAAACGGCTCGACTCCAATAGAATTGCTGGCTAAGGAGATTGATGATGCCCTTTGCTACAATTCCGATGGCCAGGAGTTCCTACCTGAAGATAAGATAAGGTACTTCACTCAAGAAGAGAAAATCTTATCTGTCATCGGTGACGCAAAGTTGTTCGGGAGTATGGCTGAGCTCATCACTTTTATCTCGAACGAGGCGCCGAGATTATTCCTTATCCTTGTTTTGATGGAGAGTGAACCCCTGGAAGAGCGACTCAAAGACTTCCGAAACGAGAATTTTGTTGATTCTGTGTTGCCGATCAAACTCGACCAAAACTATCTCGCGACAACGTTACGTGTACAAGAGCCAGTCAATCTTACCCGATATTCAGTCTTCACCCAGTGGGGGCGAGAACGGAGACGTTCATTCACGAGTTCTCAATGGTTTTTCACAGCTCCTGTTTTTGGCACATCGAAATTCCATTTGCAGCTCGCTGCGGCACAGAGATTGCCATTTCTGGACGTCGCACCACGACCTGCGAGTAGTGGCTATTTTGGGGAGGTTACCAAAGTTATCATTCACGCCAAACACGTTGATCCATCGGCAAAGCTCTCTGTTTTTCCGTGGTCTCCAAGATCATCGGGCAAGGATAAAATCCCTCTTCCAATAGAAGCCATAGCAGTTGCGGTTAAGAAAACCAAGGAAGGCGACGACGATCCTAAGTTTAGCCGCGCCGCATTTTTCGATAAGGAGGTCAGGAATCTAGACATTCTGCGAAACTACCGCTCACCGCATCTTATCAAGCCAATCGCAGGCTACCAGATCGGCCAAAACAGATGTTTGATGTTTCCTTGGGCAGATGGAGGTAATCTCGGCCGTTATTGGGAGGAGCATCCATCACGTGCTCGAGATAGAACACATGTCCTATGGCAGCTTCATCAATTTGTGGAGATCTGTGGCGCGCTGGAAGAGCTTCATGGAAGCAATTGCCGGCACGGTGATCTGAAGCCTGAGAACATCCTTTGGTTCGATCCTGAAGACAAGCAGGGAGGTACACTGCAGATCGCAGACTTGGGTCTCGCCACCTTCCATGTAAAAGAAGCAAACACAAGAGATCGCAAAGGAATGCCTACCCAGACACCCTCGGGTACTTCGCGATACGAGCCACCTGAGATGGATGCGCAGCGTAATACAGATGAAGCACGATCACGTCAATACGATATCTGGTCCCTAGGATGTGTCGTGTTTGAACTCCTCTTGTGGCTTGCATATGGGCCTAGCGATATCACAATCTTTAGGGACAATACGCCCTACTTTTGGCAGAGGGGAAACAAACGCGAGCATGCCAGATACATAGTCCACGAATATGCCGTTGCGATTATGGAATCCCTGGACACCCAATTCAAGGCCCACTCAGCTTACAAAGATCTTCTTGATCTTGTGCGATACCGACTCTTGGTGGTCAAGTACTCTGAGGATTACAACCTTGTGGCGGACGACTGTCGAGCGAGCGCAGCTAAAGTGCATCAGTGCTTTGAGGGTATTTATCAGAGCTGTGCGCGAAACGAGAAAGACTACCTGACGCCCCTCGAAGAAAGGCTGCAGTATCCCAAAATCGAGCTTCACAGTCAAGCAACTCAGCGAAATGGAGCTCAACACAATGAAGTTCATGAAAAGGATGGCAAACTTGCCGTCCCTGGGCAAAATCCTATCACTAAGTCTACTGTAGAAACAAAGCAGACCCCAGAAGAAACTTCGATTCCAGAACTGGAAGAGAGCTTGACTCATGAAGCATCAGACGATCGAACTTCAGAATTGCCAGTCGAGTTTCGCTTCAATCTCCGCCAGCCAACCTTTCCTCAACATCTCGGCAACCAGAACAGTCAGGCGTCACAAGCCTCCAATCATCAAGAAGTATGTCTGTCTTGACCTCGACTTCCAAGTACATTTAGGACTAGTAAACTAACACAACAGCGATAGTACGTAAGCTTCGCTACTAGCCACGAATAGTCCGAATGCAACTGATCACCTCGACACAGAATGTCAGTCATCCCCTCCAGTCAGCGCATGTAGTTTCATTGACGAAGTGATATCGCCTCAAAACAGATCGTAAGTTTTCCGTGATGACTGTTGGATCCGCTGACAGAGTGCAGTCTGTGAGTACTGGTATTCTCGCGAACCTTAGACGATAGTGACTCACTTGCGCAGAAATCCAGCGTACTAAACGACGACTGGACGTCTCTTCCAGACAACGACTTCGCTGCTGGATATCTCAATATTATAGGACGGAGTCGAATGAGGCCAACACCAAGCAGAGCCGTTGCAGCAACTTGCAATCACGTTTACTCGAACACGTCTGTGGATTTGTTCGATTCAATTTGTGACCTTGCAGCACTACAAGATACAGCGAAAGCCTGCGATCTGTGCAGGTTATTGCTAGAGGCATTGGAACGAAGGAAATTTAAACCACCGGGAAGAGCCAATTTGCGTACTGACGCTGCTCACGTAGGCCTTGCAGATGGGCCTAATCTTCTTTCTCTATATCGTACATTCGGTAAGATGTGGTCTATCTGCCATTGCTATACATCCTTACTTACTCATGCAGATCCGGACATACCAGTTCCCGAAGGCGCACAACTAGGTTTGACACAACTTTTCAATCCAAGCACCCCTGAATTCTTCGCACTTCTGAAGGAATGGATCCGAGTTTGTGACTCAGATCATGACCAGTGTCAGCGTGATAACGTCACACTCACAATGCCGACTCGGCTCATAGAAGTGGGCAAACAGCTTCGCCTCGTCGATACTAGGAACATCGAACCATCGCGATACGTCGCTTTAAGTCACTGCTGGGGCCATCTACAGGAGCACGAAAAGTTCTGCACCTACAAGCGCAATATCACTCAACGCAAGGCAGGGATCCAATTCGACGCACTGCCACGAACATTCCGCGATGCCGTCATTGTAGCACGGGGTATTTCAATGGATTACATCTGGATTGACTCGCTTTGCATCATTCAAGATGATGAAGCTGATTGGCAAAGCGAAGCAAGCAAGATGGAACAGGTTTTCAGTGCTGCATACCTAACTATCGGCGCAAGCTCAGCCAGATCATCGCTTCAAGGTTTCCTTGCTGATCGGCGCCCACGATCTGTGGTGGAAGTCCCGAGTGATACATCGGGTGCGATATATGCTTGTATGGATATTGACGACTTTCATGAAGATGTTGAGCTTTCGCCGCTCAATAGCCGGGGTTGGGTGTTGCAAGAGAGGGCGCTATCCCGTCGCACGGTATTCTTTACGTCCTCACAAGTCTACTGGGAATGTGGGGCTGGCATACACTGTGAAACATTGGCCCGTCTCAAAAAGTGAGTTTGTTTGCAATGGAAACCAAAACATCTCTTTGCCTACCTTGACTAATGCATCTCCAAAGTTCTAAAGCTGCCCTCCTGGGTGACGCTAACTTCCCAACATCTGCCGTGGCTCATTACAAAGACGGGAGACAACTACTCATACAGGACTTATACGAACGATACTCAAGCTTGGCGTTCACCGAACCTGCAGATCGATCCGTCGCGATACTAGGTTTGCAAGAACGACTTTCAAGAACTTTCACTACAAAAGCCGCCCATGGACTATTCGAAGCATATTTCGCCCGAGGTTTGCTTTGGAGACGTCGCGACTGGCAGCGTATGAGGCGCATTGCGCAACCATCAGGTCGCCAGGTGCCCAGTTGGTCGTCACTCTCGAAAGAAGGTAGTATCAAATACATGGATACAACTGATCAATTGAGATTCAAGGAGACTGCATGGGCTACCAACGATTTCAAAAGTCCCTTCACTGTCTCGAAAGGGTCTACAAGCATGCATGAGGTAATAGCCTTCCAGGGGTTGACGAGGAGGATGCATATTCCACAGACGGATATGTTGGTGTACATCAAGTTCGATAGTGATGACGATTTCGAAGTGAACGACCTTCGATGCGTTGTCATTGGAAGGGACAGAAGTGATGGAGAGGAAGAGAGCCCAAAGAGCCACGTGTTGGTGATAAATCAATATCGCCGTCCTAATGGGGGCCACATTTGGGAAAGGGTTGGAGTTGCTTCACTCATCTCCAGTGTCATTGATGAAAAAGGAGAATGGGTAGATATCCATTAGTAGCATGTCTATTGAGCTATACTTGGTCCTCCAAACATCATCTTATCCAAGACACACTATGGTGTTGCCTGCAAGCTATACTTTCAGACTTGCGTCGACTAGCATCATCCCTTCCATAGAGTTGCCATAAGTCATGACACCCCTAGTAACAAGCAGGTCAACGCCTCTGGACGTGCCACGTCAGTCAAGCAGGGGCCCCCTATCTGTTCGCCTTGTCTGTTTCCAGCAATGCGCACCACTCAACACCGCATTCTACGAAATCTGAGGCCATGAACGAGATATCTTCAATCGCAATAGCTAGAGATTGGGATGTGCTGGTTGCCGTTTTTCTTCCTCCTGTCGTCGCCCTGCAGAAAATCGCTCACTGATGTGGCAGCCTGCTGGCGCGTAGTATCTTCTCCGCCAACTTGAAATCTTCCAGTCTTTGCTGATATGTTGGTGGAATCGCAAGCTTTGCCTGCACCTCTCCGTCATCCGAGTGTGCATCTTGCTTCTGTATCTCTTTATCAGCCTGGTCTTTTGTAGCATACGCTGTACTCACACTCCCTGTTTCGTGCGTTTTCGCATCAATGTAGATGATATATATGTTCTTTCTTAGGGAAACACGAAATCTGTCCTTTCCCACCTTCCTTGCAAGGCTGTCCGAAAGGTCTCGAGGATGAATGCGGTCTGTATGTTCCGTGTAGACCGTCACACTCTGATCTTCGCGCACGCATCTCAGTAAGCGTTCAGACATAGTATATCAGGGCTTTACAAAGCACCAAAAATGTAGCGTGGAGAAGGCAGGATGCAAAGTGAAGGCGATGAAAATACGAATGCGCCAAGTGGCGAGCGCTAAGTAAGGTGGTCGCGTCGAAATTGCGGCTGGCCCCTACGCATTATACTTCCCGGACTAAGGAGGCGCGCAAGTTCCGGCTGACCGGGCTATGACGATCGGGGCCAGCTGAACTGCATGCGGCTGTGCTTGACACAACACTTGTTGGATGGCGCACAGACACTTCGCCAATCAAAGCGCATCAGCGTTGCTGTTGTCAAACAGGCGGCATATGCGCTTTGTGTTGTCTGATACAAAAGTCGGTGCCTCGAGGGCGATGGTTAGAGAAGGCTCATAGTGTGACTCAGGCGATAACATCACATGGTGCGACCCTGATGTGACTCAAAATTCGCCCTGTCGAAGGGTTTAGACATTTGTCTCCGTTGTTCACCCGTAAATGTGAATCGGCTAACTTTCATGACGGATGTCATTCTTTTTCCTTGGAAGCGCTTGTGGCGGCATCGGAACAGGAAGGTCCGTCGCTTCAAATACATCGCTTGAAATACAACAAAGATCGCATTTCGGAACATATCAGCTCGCCAAAGCGACAATAAACGAAGTATATATTCTCGAAGAAATTCCAAACACCATTCGCCGTCGTTTAGTATAAGTTGCATTGGTTCCTATCTCAGAGAGGATTCGGTGTGGAGGATGTTGAGGCAGTGCTGCTTTTCAGCTTTGCGCCACCATGCACAGTTCTGGCACCCAGAACCAATCAGAATTCAGGCAGAAAACCAGGTGCACACACAGAACTCCCGTCTTGCGCCCCTGCAAGCAGGAGTTTGGGGGCTTGATAATACTCAAGCGGCTCGAGATGCACGGAATATGAGCCGGTATGTGGGCTTTAAGACCAATCTCAGGCCCTGTTGCTTCCGTTCATGAAACTAATGCTCGGATACGCTACCTCCACGATTTACCGCTTCTTATTACCTGTCTCTATTTCGAACTCACTTCCCGGATGTCGAGAGGGCTAATTGGTTCGATGTGGTTTGTGCCATCACACATCTGAGTACCAAGCACAGGACATGACAGCTTCGAGCTATGGATCCACTCACAGTGCTGGAGGCAGGGCATCACCCACAGGCTACAGGCATCGAACCAGCCGATGGAACTTGCAACGTTCCGCGATCACGTGTTCAACGACAGACAATACCGGTATCAAATTCGGGTCTTCTCAGTCCTCGATTCGGTAGGCCACTGTACTTCGGAGAGAACGAGTTTAGCGGTGGCCCTGACATAACCATTGACGATGGGAAAGGGAAGAGTCGTCCGGTCGATGAAGGCGACTATGATAGGAGACCCATCCCGGCATCGGAAAGCAGACGAAGCGAGGACGAGTCTTCCGTTCACAAAGTCAAGGATCTGGGCTTTGAGGCTGCTGCGGCAAATTTTTCGGCACTTTTCCACACACCCAGCGGTTGCGACTCGGTGATGTCCTCTCCTCTCGAAGCGCTTTTTGAAGAGCGGAGATTTCGTCGCTCTTCTCGATCACGGGATCCACTAGAGTCCGGATGTATCTTGTCTGACCTTCAAAACAAAGTTGAAGGATCTATGGCTTGGAGTCAGCTCGATAAGGAAGAATTTTTGCCACTTGATTCCTTTGAAACCATCTTAGATGCTAAGGCGATCGCATTGCTCTTGGACGAGACTTACAATTTCGCAACGAGTGAAGAGTTGAAGAAGAAGTTTGAGAGTATAGTGAACCCAATATCGGGACGAAGTCGGCGACGTACCTTGGGTATCTTGGTCCTGATGTCACAAGTTGCACATATTGAGCACTTCATCCGAGAGGACATTTGGGACGATGACCTACCCCTCGAACGCTCAGCGGGGAGCGTTATGGGATGTGTCAGAACTCGTAACTCAGAGAATGACAAGCTGATGGAGAACTGGAGTAGAATTGACATCAACTCCTTCTGCTCCTTCCAGAAGATGTTCTTCGTCCCCTTCTTTGATATACAGGAACACCGGCTGTGTTCTTACGAGCTGGAGTCAAATATCAGACTTCCTTGGAAGAAATACGAACACAAGACTAATGGAGGATTTGGTGTTGTTCACAAGGTTGAAATCCACCCAAGTCACCACAACTTTACAGGATCAAATGTTAGTATCCGTATTGTGCTGTTTTTTCTCAAGCAAGTCTAACACCTTTAGTCTTCGGTCAAACCAGTGTTCGCATTGAAAGCTATAGAGGCAGGGGATCACAAGGCGTACAGAGATGAGCTTGCTGCACTTGAAAAGACCTGTGCTCAGGTGCAGAGAGAGAAGCACCTGATTAAGCTCTTGCTCACGTTTCGACACGGAGATAAATTCTACCTTCTTTTCGAATGGGCGGACGGTAATCTCGGTGAATTCTGGGAAACTCATCGTACCAGGCCACCTACGTTGTTGGACGAGCGATGGGCAGCAAAACAATGTCTCGGCCTTGCGAGGGCAGTCAGTAGGATTCACGGGCTTACTACATGGCAAAAGAATGGCCGATCATCCTCGTTTGGATCACTCAACGACGCTGAGCGTGACTGGGGAAGGCATGGGGATATCAAGCCCGAGAATATCCTCTGGTTTCAAGAATATGAAACTGATCACGATCTTCTCGTGATTTCCGATCTTGGACTTACACGCTATCATTCGCAATCTTCGAAGTCTCTCGTCCCCCGTTCACGTATTGACGGGTGCAGTTACGCTTATCGACCACCCGAGTTGGACATAGAGGAGAGGATCTCACAAAAGTACGATATCTGGTCTTTGGGCTGCGTCTTTCTAGAGTTCGTCGTCTGGTACCTCCAAGGCTATGATGAAGTTGAATCCTTCAGTCTACAAAGAGAAGATGAAGATCTGGTGATCTATGAAGGAGTCAAAATCGACAAGTTTTTCAATATTGCGAAATCGGAAGATGGACAACGGAAACCGCAGGTCAAACAAGCCGTAAAAGACGTAAGACCACCGAGAATCTGGAGATTAACTATACTGATCGCTATCCAGCGCCTGAGAGAGTTGAAAGACCTCAGCACAGAGACTACGTTCGCGAGAGAGTTGCTTGATGTCATTGGAGATAAGATGCTCCGATGCACGCCGGATCGACGAGAAAAGATCGACGTTATCTGCACCGACCTCTCCAAGATTCTGGACTCAATCTTGAAAGCGAATAATCCCGAAGATTTTACACGTCTTTCACCAGATCATTCGCGAGATCTGGCTTATATTCGACGAGACGACTCTGCACCCTCTTTGCGTGCGCCGGCGAATATAAGCCTGTTTGAAGAAGCGCGCGAATCGGCTGCTGATGATCATGATCTCATAATGGGGGATGATAGCGATCCCGGACTGCTCATGCGCACAAGATCTCGGAAATCGAGACGAGAGGATGTTGAGCAAAGCAAGGTTCATAAGGACCTCGCACCAAGCACACTTGAAAAAAGTGTTTCGAAAATACCTGCAGAGATCGTAACAACAGCAGTGACGCGTAAAGAGACGAAAGACCAATTCCTACAGGTAGTATCGCAACCAGAACACACAGAAGCATCGCGCGAGGATGCCGCTGGCATCGATATACTAAGTCGGTCTCTTCCGACAACCGAACCGAACAATAAGAAGCACCGTATCAGCCAGAAGTTAAAAAAGTGGTTCCGAGAACCCCTGGTTAAGCTTAAGCGGATGTTGAAAGGGTGAAGAAACAATCCGGACCAGCAGGACGTCGTCATACGAACTGGACTTTGGTGATGAAAAAGCTTCTCGGATTGTTATTGTAGTGATGTTCAGTAACAAGCACTGCTCCAAAGAATCGGCCACAGACGATCCCGCAACGCTATCACATCGGCTCGAAACAAAGCCCTCATATACTTCCCAGCAAGCCTCACCACTTCGCAAAATCATTCCGTACTTCAAGGCTCCATTATATCGGTAGCCATCGAATGCATTCAATCGTCCAAGCTGATCTTGCTTCGAGGACGTATCTAGTATTATGGTTGTTGAGAGTTCCGAAACACTGAATACCGAACTCTTGCCCTTTGTGGGCCACTTAATTGCGATATAACCGGCTTGTCGCATGCCTGCTGCCATGGTCACTTTCCATATTGACGACCTAGCTACCCACCACTCCGAAAAGTTCTTCGATATAACAAACCCAACTTACACATCGTTTCCAATAATGCTGTGGGTCGAAGTGCAGGGAGGGTCTACTATGCTAGGCCTCAACGGCAAGGAGATTAAAGCAAGGATGGCAACGAACAATACTTCAGGAATACGACTTGGTACCATTCCAAAGTTCACTCGCTTTCTTGGGTGCAGACCCTGCCGTGCCACCTGTATTTTAAGACAGAGCAGGTACGACTATGTCTCACATCAGAAACACTTTCCTCGCAAATTTCATGATGGGATTCATGAGCCTCTTCATCACACTTGGCTTGGCTGTGCCCTTCAAAAACCACCCATACACCGATGACCAAGCTTCGTTTCCGCCACTCTCGAGAACGTCGCCATGGCATGGAATTATTCGGTCAATCTGCCATTCCGCGACCTTCTTCGCATCGCGTCGCATCAAAGTGTAGTCAACAGTCGCTATGTAGTACACGAGGCGCTTCGCCCATATCGATCGAGGATGTGCGCGCTTCGCAAACTCGCGCGATAGCGGACCTTGGTCTGACGAGCTGGGATGGTATTGCTGACATTCGGTCAGTGTCCGTACTCTATATTGCATGTGGGCGCAAACATACCTCTGTACATGGCAGGTTCATCATGAGATCTGACTGTATCAATGTCTTGGTTGGCTTATGGTACCAAGCGACACAGTATGTAATGAAACCCTCGAATAGCACGGTCTCGAAGTCTTGCGCAAAGTCGAACTGGTCTTCCGGACTTGTCCGCCAGTCTTTATAGATATAATTCCAATTCACGTCCTTTCTCATGCTATCTAGTCCCGGAACTCCGATAGTCTTTGCCTCTGGCCATGCATCGACGTAGTCTTTGACATACATGTGATGGCCCAGGTCACTCGCAATGAGGTGGACGCCGCCCAGTCGATCAAGCTTGTCGCGCACCGCGTCCTCCAACTGTATGGGATTGAGAAGCAGTATTCGATTGTCGTGTAGTCGGATGGCTGTGGCTCGATTGCCTACCGCAACGAATCTGCGATACCCGAACGGCGCGAAGCGGTTGAATGGCGTGGAGAAGGTGGTGATCGTCGGCGCGATATCGCGGATCTTCAGCCCGGCGGAAGGCATGCTTGTATCGCGGTTTGTTGACGCCGAAGTCGCTTGGACGTTGTGATTTCCCTTGTCCTGGGGGTATCGATGATTACTTCCGATTGTTCTCGCCGGCGTTGCTAGGACGTGACGCGCGCATTGGATGCAGCGCACTTCATGATGTCGTCATGACGCTTAGCACTTTGTCGAACGGCTGCACCGTCTCAATTACCGTCTTGTGATCTCACAGATCCCTGGAGCACATCCAGGAGTGGTTGCGCATATCGCCAGATCGCATGGAGCGCGGTGATCCTGTGTGCGCTTCATTGCGGTTGACTATGGTCTGGGCCGCTCTCAGGGTCGCGTCTGTCGCGTCTGCCCAATCTGCTGATCGCGTCCCGCTAGCCGGCCGATTAGACTTCGCCCTCGACTTTTGACACCTACCGTTTCGCGTGCTAGAGCGCTGCCTTTAGGACTAAGACCTTCTCTACACTCTTGTTGTTGAGCCCCTACCGTCCCGCACCTGGACGCGACACCATGGCAGACTGCGCCGGCAGTCGCGAGCTTGACTAGGACGACTACTTTCGTCGAGGCGTCGGTCTAACGCAAGGTAGAATCGCAGAATTGCTTTCTCAGCGAGACATGTCACATACTCTGTTGCGATGGCGAATTTAGCCAGGTTTTGTGGCGGAATGTTGCCAGCATGGTTGGCGAAAGGACTGTCGTGTTGGATGCTGAGACCTCAGTCGGACCGGCGTTTGAGCCATCCACGCCAACGCCAAATCCGCTGCACGTCTCAGCAATCCCGACGACTGTTGGTGTCCATCAGCTTCTATCTTATATACAATCAGGTCGATTGTCTTTACATTCCTTTGTATGTAGCAAACAGACTACTGTATATAAGCAGTTGTCTTATCTCTTGTAGGCAGTATCACTTCATCTTTTCTTTCTCTGCTCTATCTGATAACGACCACGTATATACCTTTGATCACTTTTGTGTAGTTATGTCAGGCAATGAGAAGCGTCTTCCACCCCTCGGGTCATCAATTCAGAAGAACAAGGTAATTTGCACCCACTACAAACCTCAAGCGCCATCCGGACGCCGTAGCACAGGTGGACATCGCGACACTTGAAATCCATCATGTCATCTATATTCTTTCACTGTGGTTTAAGAGATCATTCTATTGAATCTGAGACATTTCGAGGCCCATGTAGCCACAGGCGACATTTGAGTCGTAATCGCGATGGCAAAGGAACGATTCCAATTGTGTAAGTGAAATTGAACTGCGCACAGGTCGAGTGAGAATAGAGCGACAGTCAAACGTTTTCAGTGAAGTGCGATCATCATAGTGGCGTCGGCACATTATCGCCTCCTATGGTCTCCCTCCCACTATATAACCTTCTCCTCTCTCTACCAAGCTAGACAATATGCTCCACCGATCACTAGTCATTTCAACTGCAATACTGTATTCCAGATATACCTTGCCAACTCTCACGATGACGGAATTCCAAAGGATGTAAGTCTCTCGTCCGCAATGCTATGTTCATGTTCTCAACTCTCGTAGCACCGAGCACAATCTTGCTACCTCACCCTTCCTCGACCTTCCTGGTGAGGTGCGAAACAGGATCTACGAGTTCACTTTGGGCGGCAACATATGGAATATCGATGCGAAAGGACGTGCGATCAATCTTACACCTAAAGCTAATCGGAACGACCACCGGGATTTGCTCCTCGTCTGTCGTCAAATATACAGTGAGAGCCGCGTCTTGCCATGGTCACTCGGTTCATTCAAGTGCTTCCATGGGGTCAGATATCTTCGCCGCTGGCTTGCCAAGTTTCCGCCTGAATTTCGCAGGGCTATCACGTTCATCATCCTCTTGGGAAGCAACCAATCCGGAGCTCCTCCTTTGAAAGACGAACAGCTGGAGCAGGCATAGACCACCAGATCCAATCTCAACCTCGAGGACTTCCCCGGAATCAGGAGACTCCAGGTACAAGTCCTAAAACCTGTCTCTACTACAAAACTCCGGCAAATGGTTATGATAAAACCGCGTGAGCATATTGTAGGCAATGTCTGTGTGACATGGGTACATTCTAAGTACGCTGAATCAAGGTTGACAATGCCGGCGTGATAGAAAACCCGTTAAGCAGTCTCAATATGTGGGATTCGAGTATACCGGTTTTTGAACTGCGAAAAGGTATGAGCAGAGTATCTAGCCTTTCAAGAGAAACAGAGTTTACATAGCTTAGATCGCAAGGAATACGAACTTTCGAAACAATCAATTGGGATATCTTTTATCGTTATTGAATATGATATATCGAAGTAGTGTTGCCATCAACAAGGCGAATGCCATGCCTCTAAATCTACGTTCCAGGTCAGCAACAGTACACAATAGTTGTAGAAGAGCTAGAATCGAGCGGGCTTTTGCCATCTTTCAGTTCATGTGTTATGTGTGCTAATGATCATCAATGCTGCATGATACTGTCATTAGTTGGACCAGAAGCATGAACGTGATATATTAGCTTATTATCATTGTCACTTTATTTAATCTTCCTCTATCACGCGATGGGTGCGTAGAAGCTAAACTTTCCCTTGGGATCATACTTCTTTTTGAGAGCTTTAAGCTTCTTCTGCCTCCAGCTCTCATGGCCATACCAGGCCTCCGGTCCTTCATTACCGTACGCATAGTTGACGTAGGTGTGTAGGTCCTGCGATCCGGTTCCCTCAAGAATGATGTCGCGAAGCTGAGTGCCAAGCTTTTTGACCGCTTCGTCCTCTGCCTTGCCAGTAGAGTTATAGATGATCAAAGGTGCAGCGAGGGTGGTCGCATCGCGGAAGCCGTATGCGCTAGTATCGTTGTCGCGGAAGCGAACACCGGCACTGGCGTAGTTTTCAAACATGAAAATGGAGTTATAATATGGGTTTTCGGCACCTTTGATGGCTGAGGAGTAAACATCCCAGGCCTTTCGCTGTGCAGTGACGTTGTAGGAGGTTATGTAGATGGGAAAGCGAGGGTTGTTGAAGCCGAAATCCTGGCATGGAGGCGACTCGAGCGCGATACCAGTCCACTTTGCCAGATCCTTGTAGGTGCCGGACTCAGGTATAGCAGCGAGAGGACCAATGTCGTGAAAGGGGGCCGTGTACTTGGTGTCGACAGTAGTCACACCCTCTTGAACGATGAAGATGATGATCACTGGCTGCTTTCGTGTTAGCTGCGGAAATCATGAGTGCTCGTCAATCATCTTACCCCCTCAGTGCTGTACCTTGCATCGTTCTGCCAGTAAGTCCAATCATGGATGTCATCAGCCTGCTTTCCATCCTGCACGATGTATTTGTTGACAGCATCGTAAACCTCCTCTACCTTATCACCGCTGAATACGATAGTCTCGATCGCCCAATCGTAATGTGTGACATCGTAAACCTTGGAGGTAACAGACGTGACAACACCGAAGTTGTGTCCAGCGCCTTGCATACCCCACCATAAGTCTGACTTGCTGTCGATTGTCTTCAAGTCGCCATTTGCAAGAACAACATTCATCGAAAGAAACTGGTCGGCAATCAGGCCGTAGCGACCCTGAAACCACCCGTGACCACCACCAAGGGCGGGTCCCAAATAACTGACGCATTCGCAGCATCCAGTCACTAAGCATTGTTAGATCATGACAGGATGACCATGAGTGCGAAAACTGAGCTTACCAGTCTGCTTCCCAGCGGCCAAAAGAGCATCCGTCATGTTCTTCACGTTGATACCGCCGCCTACAGTCACCGACTTTCCGTCCTTGGCGATAGAGAAGGAGTCTAATTGAGGAAGATAGATCTCAATACCATAGTCCATCTTTCCCAAGGTTGTGAGTGTCCCATGGTGGCCGTTGTAGGTGAGGAATGGAATGTTGAAGTCGTTGGCAAACTTGACCTGCAGCACATGGCATTAGATGTGTTCTTGCCTGTTTATACACAGATACGCCCATCGCAAAACTCACAATCTTTTGAACATCCTTCTCGGTACCTGGAGCGATTACCACGTTGGGCGTGGGAGCCTCCAGATTGGACCATCGAGTTGTGTAAGTAGCGAACTCCTTGGTGCCCGGTAAATAGATTTTGGCGTTGGCGGAAAGGTACGGCGCCAGTGCATTCACGTCGACGCCTGACGCAGGGGTCCTGGAAAAGATGTCGAACGCCGAAGTAGGACCTGCTGAAACGATTGGCGCGAATGAGGTCAAGATCCAGCCTGCAACAGCCAATGGTGTCAGGACGCTTGGATACATGGCGCTGGTATGGCTCTGCCAATTGATGCGAGGTACAAATGCAGGCTACCAATGTGCTGAAGTGGCTCAAGCCTTCTCAAATAAAACAAAATAACTGATCGAGGGCGAAAAGCACCATGCTGAATGAGGAAGACTTCCGCACCGCCTTACGGAGGCCTTATTTTCAGGGTCCAGACGTCGTGGAGGCGGGACAGCATAGATTGAAGCATGCAGCTGAGGTTACACAATTGGTGCGAATCCGATCCTACGAGGGTCTTGAAGATTTGCGAGTCGTGCGCCTGCATATTGTCGAGCGAACTGGTAGGTTCCCCCGTGAGGTCCGGCATTACTGCGATTGGCTCGGCGCTCGGACAAGATCCCGCGAGCCGCACCGCCAACCGCGTGCGCAATAATAGCCGCTTTCCCCGGGCTATTGCCTGCGCGGCGGTCCTGTCCTGCTCAGACAGCCCCGTAGCTTGAGCAGTTCACATACCTGCCCTGAGATACGGGTTTTGCCTTCTGCCGACCTTGCCGCCGGCAATTGACTGCGCCATGCGACCACGCGTCTCGTGCTTCTCAGGACTGCATCTGTATTTCGAAAGTCGACGGAGAACTGAACGAATACACTTCGGATGCTTGAATTCGCGCAGAGTAGTACGCAAGTCATGTAGGAGACATCTCGGGTTCAAGAGCATCAAAATACAAGTGCCTAGGTATGATGTCTCGCGGCAAGGACGGATCCAAGAACACGGTCTTTTCTCCATGCAAAACCTGGTTTCCCCGGCCAGTCGCTCGTCGAATTCAACAGGGTTTACTAATAGAGGTCATTGCCCGCTTTGATATCGTATTCGCTGACGCGCCTTCACGATCTGCTCCGCATTTTCGATATACCGCATGTCAAGCCAACAAATTTGCGGTTAAGTTAACTACGCCTTGCATAGGGTCGGCCCGCAAACTCAAGCTTGGCGGTAAATGTGACTCCGGATCACAGAGATGCAATTAGCTTAAGGATATGCTCATTCAACTAGTGTTTGTGGCTTATCGCGAACACGGGGAGGTAAAGGATATATATCCGGTGCCGTCGCAATGCTCTCCGACCTAGTTCGATTCTGGAGATCAATGGCATTACTGCTGCTGAGTTGTGACCGAGCACGCTATTCCAGAAAGTGTCGTCATGGGTGTTGTGGAACTGTGGACTCTTTACGCATTCGCCGTCTCTTTCACGTTTTTGCGCACATACGCGAGGATCTCAGCGGTAGGCTATCGCCAACTTCAAGTTGACGACTATCTCGTATGGATTGCGATCGTGAGTAACTAGAATCATTCTTAACTATTTGTCGAGCTCTGCTAACGGCCTCATCGCCAGCTCATTTATACAGCTCAGTGCAGCCTTGGGTACAGCCTAGGGGTATATGTTCATGGTTTCGCAAATGATGGCATGACACCTCATGAGCGCAGTGCGCTTTCGCGAGACGATCCCGAGTATGGCATGAGGTATTTTAAGAGCCAGTGCAAAGTGCCAAAGGTGCAACAACATTCTTTCTTGTAGCTAATGTGATTGCAGGGTTACCGGATCTAAAATCCAAGTAGCAGGATGGACGACCGCCGCATGTCTGCTTTGGTCACTCAAGCTTTGCGTCGCACTTTTCTACCTTCGTCTTACAGTATGTGTGTTCATCGCATCTTATGCACGAGCTTAGACTGACGATCATTACATAGAACGGTCTCTATAAGTATACGACCCGCATTTGTGTCGCCTTCGTTTTCATTGTCACTAGCTTCATCGCCGTAATCTTCACGATCTATCTTTCCTGCCGGCCTTTTCACCATTACTGGCAAATCAATCCGGATCCTGGAAATGCATGTACAGCAGCGGTATCGAAGAATCTCATTTGGGTAACGTTCGTTTTCAACGTACTCACTGACATATACCTGCTGTTGATACCAATGCCGATGTTATGGAAGTCGAGTATGAAGAGATACAAGAAGATAGCGGCCATGATAGTACTTGGCGCTGGCATGCTGGTGATCGTGTGCGCGGTAGTTAAGAGCTTCTATCTCATCAGTGTAAGAAACTCTCCACTGAACGATGTTTTCGCGATAATGACATTGGCTGCCCTCTAGGATCCCCATAACAGCGCCGAGCTCACAGCTTCTTGGGGCACGCGTGAAACCTTCATCGCCATCTTTACCACAAACCTGCCTATGATCTTTCCCCTACTCAAGAACTGGTTCGCCCCGTTCTTGTCCAGTACGATCGGATCGAGCAATTCAAAGCCACAAAAGCCGCCTCCAGGCAGTGATTTTAGAACCATAGGTGGTGGCTTGGGAGACGGTGGCTTAGGTGTCGCCAGAATCAGCCGAGCGGCACCACACGAGGCGCGCCACAACATTACAGATCTGACTTTTGACAACGAAAGCGAAGAGCATATTCTGAACGAAGAGGACTTAAGGCTTGAACACATCCAAGGGGCTACTAGTGAACAGCAAGGGAAGGATATCATTGTCGTGACAGATCAGTTCAACGTTAAGTCTGAACACCGCAGCAATGCACAGAGCAAGGAGTAATTCCAGGTCATGTAGCGTATATGACAAGAACCAATATCTCCTGCCATAATCTTGTTCTACCTAACTCGCTGTAACATTAGTTGCAAGAGGCTAGTCAAGCCGCGTTGCCGCGTTAAGAAGACGTGATTCAATGGGAACCATGCATCATGAGGCTCACTCAAAAGGGGCACAAGGATGCTGGGCGGCCGCTGCCAACATGATGCTTGGTCATTCACGACATGATAGTGTTTGCGGACTATGGACTTCGATTGATCTTGCAAAATCGTCTCATATTGCTTGATCTATATGCTCCACCAGCCGTTCCAATGCTGTCAATTAATCGCACATCTTTCCAACTCGTTTGTGAAATAAGGAGTCCGAGCGAATGTTGTGATCAATCCTAGGGGCAGATACACGTGGTTCCCTCCTAAAAGTCCAATCTCTTAGCAGGTTGCGATGCAAGATTATGAGCTAGGAACTTACAACTCTGCAGCCATTTGTGATAGAGCAAGTGTTGCCGGGCGGTCGAACGGGGCCTCGTTGAGCGTCACGTGCGACATATTGCGAGTTTGGCACAGCCAGTGCTACACTGAAGAGAGCGAGTGTTACAAGAGCGAACTTCATTTTGACAGTTGATTGGAAGTAGCTTGATGAAAGGGGTAGTTGAGGGCAGTATTGAATGTATGATAACATTTGTACTTTATATACTTGAATGCCACTACGAGTCAGGAACTGGCCTCAATCCTCTCCGTCAGCACTACGTAGGGTTTAAACCCCAGCCTTGTTCTTTCCATGTACACGACTTATGGATATCGTGAAGAATGACTACTCTGCGGCCCTTCTTATGACATTATTTCCGATTTTGGCATTGCGGAACGAGTTCACTCCGCGGTCCGATTCAACTTAGTCACGATGTTGTACGTTTGTACATCGCCCACATTGTTCCTCTGAATAATGAGGCAATGCCAAAACAGAACTCGAACTCAGCTCATCCCTTGGAGTGAGCCTTTAGCATTCGATTTGTTTCGTCCAGTTACGATGTATTCTCTGGCGTGGTTCAATCCCCTCGGTCGCCCAGCGCTAACTTGCTGCGTTCTCTCTATACTAGCAGCATTGTCCTGGTCACAGCTCCATTTATCCATCCCCAGGCTGCAGTATAACGACGCGTATTCGGTACGAATACTCTCCTTCGACCCTTTGATGATCTACATAATAGACTTCGTGCCAAAATATGAGAGAAATCATCTCCTTCAGGCTGGGTATGTCGTTACCCGAACATGAGCTCATGACATGTTGACATCGAACAGCGAGAATCTGTTTATGAGATCAACAGTCGGTATCGGGAACAGCTCAGCTATCTCGAATGAGCGAACAAGTTCCACTGCTGTCTTGAACAGCTCAGACCCGGTAGTCCAGCGAATCATATCTCGTGCCTCCTCTTTTCAAGGCTATACGTCTTTGGAAGATCACGAACCACTTCAGATGACTCGATATTCCGCCGGCCAAGAATTCAAACCTCACTGGGATCATAGACAATTTGAGCCAGTGCCAGAGAACGAGACGCAACGTATTACAACCTTTTTCGCCATTCTTGAGGCAACTTGCGAGACGTGCGGAACGAGATTCCCAGATTTGAGAATTGATTGGTCGAAAGAGGATACGAGGTGGTGTCAGTTTGTTGATTGTAATGACCATGAAGGCGTTACTATACGACCCATTCCAGGAAATGCTTTGTTTTGGAAAAACCTCGATAACGCTGGGGCTGGCGACCCAAGAACCCTTCATGCTGGGCTTCCACCTATAGCAGGAGTCAAGACTGGGTTGGACATCTGGACGCATACCCCACGGTTAATTGAGTAGCGCTTCCTGTAGTGGCCGAACCATGTACTAGCCCTTGCACGTGTCTCTGCCCCAATCTACCTGATCTATCTTGCTCGATTATGAATCGAGCTCTTGTTCTGATTACTTTCACTTTCGCGACCAAAGACTCGGAATCACACGAGATCTAGGCATTCGTTGTGCAATCCGAAGATTTTCGGTAGCAGATGGAGATTCCTGGACGGCCCAAGTCGGCCATGCCGGGGCTAGAAGGCAGTAACAGGACTCAATCTAAGCCACAATGAGTTCTCACATGCCCGTTCATCGGTCTCGTTGTCAAGTTTATCTGATGAGGTCAGGGATATTTGCTTGACTGCAGACGGACAGTGGTTTCAAGAGCAGCTTGGCGATCATATTGACTCTAACGGGCTAGACTGATGGAGTGGTAGCAGCATTGATCATCAAAACAGATCTGCGTATGATGATGCCTCTATACTACTTGCTTCCAAGCATAACGGCAAAAGTATTGTATCATCTCGCGTGGATATGTCGGTGATGCGACTTCACCTCTGGCTCACCATCACCTTTCTAACTGGAGTCGCCGTGCTCTTACACGACCTTCTACTATCTCTTGCGGACCATCAACACGCTATGCAGACAATTAGATAGCACAGCAATAGCAGGTTAGGTTAGCTAACGATCACGAAAGATTCTTAGTAGAAGTGAATCCTGCGCATTTATGTAGACTCGGCGGTTTACGTGTCCGTGTTGAGGCATGATAGGATGGCGATGACGATCCGATGGACGCCAAAAGTGGCATGAATCTGGCTCAAAAGGTGAACAGGCTCTTGTGCTACGAGGTCTCAAGGGATATCCAGGACTCCCCAGCACGATTGAAGTCTACACAGTATTTTGCGAATTTCAATCGATGTTGCCGGTCGGATATAACGTGTGCGATGGTGAGAAATGGGGAGAAAAGGGCCGTACAGAGTAAGCACTAAAGGATCAGCAACTCTTGGCCACTTGACTGTCGGCAACTTTGTCGCTGCCGACATCCTAGAGCAGAGAGAGATTACTAACGGCCTTAGCACATGAGTGATTACTCAAATGAACCACCGCGATGGCTGATAAATATCCAGTTGCGAATCGCTTTTGCTATAGTAGACGAGTGCAACGACCAGGCGCTGAACAGATGTACGTGGCGTCATTCTTCCACCTGTCTCTGAGTCCAACAAGTGGTCGCTACCTCTGCAGTTGACACGGATGTTCTTTTTTGAAGTCACTGGCGCGAATACGATACAAAGGATACAACAGGAACGACTAAGTAACTTCTTGGGCATGTTGTCTATCTATATATGATACTGGGGAGAACTCTTCCTTGAGTACAACTCTCGTCACTGCCTGGAACCGATCTGAGAAACACCCGTTGATAGTGCATTGCAGCAGTGGGTCTATTCCAATTTGCATACGGCCTAGAAGTCGAGAGATGGGATTCTTCTCAAGAACTTGTACTGTAACGAGGGTCTGGCCGTGATCTTTATACATCTGTTGGTTGTATTCCTAGAGAAATTGGGGATCCTGGGGTCGCGGGCTGTATGTATTCCACGGCGCCTACGAGAGAGGGCTGAGCCATTACCTCGCGAGGCGTGGCGGATGGTGAGCGCGTCACAATAGAAGCATTACCCGAGGCTCCTGGAAATGAGGCTTCATCAACGTCGAGCGCACGCACTACCTGGTCAGACCTGTCTGGTCCCGTAGTAGATGGAAGTGAGCCCAGCGCTAGGGAGGTAACATTGCCCAGCATGACATCGAGCAAATTCATTGAGCGGGCTGCAATCCAAGGTCGGTTAGGCAGCGTGCGATACTTTGACTTGCCGCTTGTCACGGCGTTAGGAGGTGCTGCACTGTACAAATATGTGCTGATAGCGGCTGCTGCGTGATTTTGGTACCATGGATCGTCGGTGAGCAGTGCGAAGCCAGGATCGTTAGGTACCAGAGTGCTCGGCCAGCATCGATTAACACTCAATCCATCGTCAGCATGAGAGGTCAATCTTGTGTGTTCCCAGTGTCTGATTTCGAAAACAGCGTTCGGCACTTCGACACCAACGCTTGTAATGTATGCTTCATGGTATCTTAGCATGGCGACCATCATAGACGGATGTCGTTACTTACTTGTTGTACCCCCTCCGACCCTTTGTGAGACTGTCGAACTTGTTGTTGTGGCTGCGCCATTTCTCATTGTCCTTTTGGCCGCGTCTTTCCACGCATCGTGGCTGGGACAGAACGCACTCCAGATCCCACCCGCTCCGCCGTTGTCAGGTTGAGGTATCAAGCGGATGAATTGCCCGGCCTTCTTCCTGGGACTCTGTGAATTCTGTCCCCAGAAGTAGCGCGGCGGCCATTCATCTCGTTCGCAATCGCCGAACTCGGTCCATTCTTTTGACCATTCCCAGTGATGCTGAGCTGTCCTGGGCACGCTTGGGCGACTACCCCAGAGACCCCAGTCATCTGTTGCCTTGCCGTGTTTACTAGTACTTGACGTCGCCCAACACGTGAATCGAACCATATCAGGCGTGTTTGTATGAACGCTCATCACCGAACTATAGTGATAGCATGCCTGTGACCACTTCTCTGAGCAGGTCATTGGAGGCGTCGTCATGAACGTAGAGATGCTTGTCGTTGTGGTTGAGTCTGTCCTTGTGATGGGTCCGTTGTTGCAGGAGGTAGCTCTTTGTTGCAACCGGGCAGTAACTTCCGTGTAATGAACTTCATGAATGATATTCATCGGGGAAAGTCGTGAATCAAAGCGACCATTGCTTGTGTCAAAACTGAGCTCAAGCAAGCTTCTCTTTGGTCTGCATGTGTTGTTGTTGTTGTCGTCATCTTTTGAACCGTCCTTGCGACAATTGCCGAGTACTTTTTGCAAAGAGTCATCGTGCTTCTTGAATGTTGCACCCATCTTGCTGACGTCGAACTTGGTCTGCGCTCGCCGAGCGGCGCCCAGTTCTGCGAAGTCTCGAGGTTTACGGACGCGTCCAGCACTTAGCAGCCCCATAATAGCCATGGCCGCGTTTTCCGGATTGGCAACTACGTCTGCGATAGTGAAAGCGGCATTCCCAATCATTCCGGCCATAGCAATCATGCGAGCAACGGTGGCTGCGCCCGCCGCCATCGCTGCGAATTCGCCAACAAAAGGAATCAAGAAAAGAAGGGCCGAGATAATTGTAATGATGAGATTCTTCTTCTCCTCTTCTCTGATCTCTCCGCCTTTCTCTTTCGCTTCCTCCATCGAGTCCACAGCTTGCGCGAAGAGAAAGACTGGCACTGAGAGGACTTGAACCACATCGCCGTTGGAGCCATCCCATATACCTGCCACGATATCGAAGAAGCGAGCGGACATGGCATTTCTGGTGGCTTCAAGATCGATGCTCTTGATAATCTCCTTGGGATCAGGAATGCCAAAATCCTTCTTGAGAACAGGTATACCAGTGACAGTGACGTCTCTGTAGATGCACAGGCAAGCGGGTTGCCCTTGGCAACTCGAGCAGTCGTTCACCTCCTCGTGGAATTCACCGAGTTCGATCCAATCAGAGATGATGCCCGCTTCTGCTTCGAGGGTATCATAGAAGCCATCGCTATCTCTGATCGTCATCTTCATAGTCATTTTACCCTGGAAGATCAAAGGATCATCTTTCATCAAGTCCTCGCAGGGACCGTTGTACTTGTCTTTCCCGCCGGATCGTTGAAAGTCACAATCAGTGTACTTTCGGATGTTGCCGAACTCCCAGTCCGCGAACTTTTTAAAAGCCGCCTCGGCACTCTTCTTGATGACTCGTTCATAAGCCTCGAAGTTCTTGTCGTAGCCATTGTCTGCGTCGTTGTATTTGGTGATAGAACCATCCAGCATCTTCTCAAGAATGCTGACAGCGAGAACGGGCTTGCAGTCGTCCGATACATCACCATCGTTCGCCAGAGCTTCGAGATCTGCGTATTCCTTGGTGAGGGGGCAGTTCTTACCACCCATTTGGTTGTCGTCGTCTTCGCCGTTGTTACCAATGCCGCTATCGCCATAGTCCTTGTCGAGGTCGACAGCCCAGTCCGACACTCCCCCGAAATTGAGTTTTGTGTACTTGTTGATGCGGTTTTGCTTGGTCTCGTCGGTCATCCATGCTACCCACTCTGTGTCTTGGTACACAAGATAGTCGGTATCGGTGTCATCGCTCCATTCCTTGACTCCAAGAAGCTCTTTGTTCCACAAAATCTCTCGAATTTCTGCAGAAGATATGTAGCCGCCCGTTCCAGTGCAAGGTCCCGGCATCGCATCTGACACAGTCCTACTGCCTGTGTATCTGCACATCTCGCTCGTGCAACCCTCTTCGGCCATTTTGAAGCTGCGACCATAGCTAGCTATACCAACCACAACCTTGTATGAGGGAACGCCAGCCTTTGTAATCATAGCTAGTGCAGTAGTTGTCTCGGTCATATTGACATGCGAACGTAGGCAGTCGCCTTCAGGGCAGCCAGGACTTGACCATTTGTTACCATAGTCCCATTGTCCGTGCAGGTCGTAGGTCATGTAGATAATGTAGTCAATGACACTAGACATCTCTTTGATTGGAAACGCCTTCAAATACCAATACGAGGCAGGAGCCGCGATCGAGACTGATTTGCTTCCCATACGACGTTTGACCAATTTCAGAAACTCAAGATAGTTGGTGCCTTCGTCGGCGGCGCCGGGAACGGGCGTGATATCCTGGGCACCAGGGTACTCCCAATCAAAGTCGATACCGTCAAGGCCATGCTCGTTTACGAAAGCAACCACATTGTCTGCAAATGTAGCACGGTTGGCTTGACTGACAGCCTGACGAAAGATGGTGTAGGTTGGTGCATCAGCTGAGAAGGCCCAACCGCCAAGTGACACTATCCTTTTGATGCCAGTCATCTTCTTCAGCTTTTCGAACTGGTCCTTTAGCGTACCGACGTCGATTTTGAAATCTCCAGCAGTAACATTTGGAAACGCAAAGTGGATATGGGTATACTTCTTTGTGTCGATATCTGTGACGTCCATATGCAAACATGGGCGATCCTGATTCCAAGCCTCGAAGTAGGCGACGTGGGCGAAGCTCGCTGGCCCTTTGGCATTGTTGGTGATATTCATCCCACAATTAGATATGCATCCGTTCATGCCCGGCTTCGATGTACCAGGAGCGCCTGTATCAGCTGGATTCTCGATGCAGAAGTCCTTGTCCATTCCACACTGGCCCCAGACGTTACAACAGACATTCAGGGGGCATGGGTTCATATCGGCAAGCTTTTTGTTACCCCGAACCTCTCCATTTGGCTTCTGCGGCCCGCAGACGGCATTTTCGATAGGATTTGGCATTGGAGGTTCGCCATCGGAAAGGCATATCTTCTGGCCAGGTTGAAGGTTGTCGCAGCCAGCAAAGCCCCACGTGTTCTTGTTGAGATCTTCTATGCCCTTCGTGGTGAGATAATTCGCATCGGCAAGGGCCCAGCAACCGTCACCATCCTTGATGTCGTACGAAAAACACGAGCCATCAGCATTTTTCTTTGGGCGGACTACGGATGAATGTTAGTCCTCAAGTCAAAAGCCAGGACAGCGATTTCACCTACAGTCAGGGAGGTCGCCAGCCGAACAGCAGACAAACTGTTTAGGTTTGAGCTTGTTGCAGAAGTCTTCTCCAGGGTTGAACTTGTAGAACTTCGTCAAGCTGATACCACATCGTTCTGCTAACCCATAGCAATCGTCACCGCTGAATACCTCTTGATAGCTACAAGTAGCCCTTCGATGCAAGTTGAGAGACGAGGTAGCATTAGAAGAATGATTCGTGGAGTTATTCGCCGTCGCATTTGAGGAGCTGTTCATACTTTTGACAAGCCAGTATTTGATGTCGAAGTCTGACCACCCAGAAGTTGTATCAGCGCCTGAGGGGCTTCTACCCTGACTCCAGCTAGAAACCGCTTCCTGGGCTGCGGTGATATTGTTTTGAAGGTCCGCAACGATGCCAAAACCCAAGGAAGATGAATGTGTTTCCTTGTAGTTTTGTACGGTGAAGCGATTGGTTTCGCCACTTCCACTGGACTGTATTGCTGAAATGAGGCGCTCAACTACGGGGCTGAAGGCCTCTCGATCGACCGCGTGACCAACAAAAGCTCCCACAGTAGCCGATCCGACCTTAGCGAACATCGTAATGTGTCTACAGTCACCGGTCTTGGTGATGTAGCTTTTCAGCGTTCGAAGAGCCGCAGCGGCATCTTCATCACTGGCCGTGCTGTCCATTTCGGCCGGGTTCGTGTGCCATTCATGGTAGTAAACCGAAGTCTGGTTAGACTTTGGAGCCATGTTTGACGGACAGCCTGGAGACTGCAACCTTTCGGATCGCTTCTTTGGTGTACCAAAGGTGAACGGCACAGGATCATAGTCGGGTGCCTGTTTTGTGTCATCCTCGGAATCCGTACAGGCACGAATAGTAATGTGCTTGTCGGGAGAGTTGACGGGGATGTCCAGCATAGTGCTGAAAAGCAGGGGCTTTTTGCATCGATTGAGTGCGACGACACCATGAAGATACGTCCACTTCAGAGCATCCAATCCAGACTTGCTACATCGAACAGGACATGGATTTATAGGACTCGCAGCGTCGCTCTCAGCATGCGTTTGAACACCAAAAATGAGTGTGAAGAAGACAATGAAGAGAGCGGACGAGTACATGGTGCAAGGACGTGCCGAAAAGAATGACAAAAATATCATGAGTGTATAGGATTGAAAAAGAAGAGACGATAGACGAGGTCCGTAATCACGAACTGGCTTTGCAGCAACAGGAATGAATGATGTTGAGAATGAAGAAGATGACCTTCTGTGCAGACCAAAGTCTACTCAGTGATCAATATAAGTAACCCGTCTGACAAGACCTGCATCAGGGAATTGAGCGATTATGCTCAAGATGTGCCCCTTTGAAGTGCGCCTCGGGAATTCGCCACACGTATCATGCACTTCTAGTGGGAGTAATCTATTGTCAGTCAGATTTTACGAGGGATGAAGGATTGTGGTAATATTCTTGCAGGGTCGTGCGGAGCTAGCACGGATGAACAATGTATTGGTCTGGGTGTAGGGTAACATTGCCAAGATGTTGGCACGAGACTGTTGACTAGGATCGTAATTAAAAGATGACAAGCTCGGAAATGGGAGTGAAGAGCGGAGTCATTACATCTCTCCTTCTTATTTCGGACCGCCCAACGTGGTTTGCAAGTAATTCCTTCGGTTGCTTCTGACTATCTGGTCATTCTTGACAAGAAACCGCAGACCTCATCCATCAACATGAAGCTTTTGTACCTTCTTGTGTTGGCCTTTGGCCCCATCTTTGTTCTTGCCGAGCTCAACGCATACGAAATACTCATGTTCTTCGACATGTATCGTGTCGATTACGAAAAAGATAACAGCAACTTCAAGGTTGCTAAAGGATGCAAAGATTGCAATTTTGAGGACTTCGTTATCCATATCGACCGCCTTAGGATGGCTTCAAATCTCGATGGTCGTTTCGGAGACCTTATGAACCCCAGCCTTGACGACGTAGAGGGTTGGGAGCAAAGAGATGATCTTGTCTACGATGCAAAAAAGCTCCTTGGTGGACTATGGCGCGACGAGGACACGAAATCTCGCCCTGGTCATGCTATCGTAATTGAGCGGCTTGTTGACTACATGTCGAGCCTTCGCTCAAGTGGAGATTCTGAACGCCTCAGCAGGATTGTCACTGGAATGCAAGCTGCGCAACTCAGCAGACGCAGCCTGCAGGCCAAAGCCATGCTCGACTACATAAATGGCCGACTTAGCAAAGCCCGCGTGGGTTCTGCGAAAACGCAGTCCATCTCCTGGCAAGGCGGAGACTTCGATGAATTCGACGCCATAGCCACTATTGAAGGAGTACAATCCACAAAGCGAGGGGTCATGCGCGCGGAGATTGTTGCCATTGCCAAGTCCATCAACAACAACGATCTCGAAAGCAGCCTCAAGAGAGATATCGGGATGGGAAGCGGCCGTAGCATCCAGAAGCGCGAATTTGGCGAAGGACTGGCTATCATGGCGCTGCAACGAGGCATCGATTCGTTGAGTATGCCAGCGCGCAAGAAATGCTGAAGAAGGTCGCTCTGAGGACCTTCTGAGATTGTCTACAACACATGCTTCACAAGCCGCGGTCGCTGCGGATTATGCAGGGGAAGTGGGTGCCAACCATGGCATAAGCAGCCTGGCGAGAGGCATGTCGAGCCATCTAGCGAGATATTTTGGTACCGTAATTCAATAATCGAAGAATGCGATGCACACGAATGGAAGTAGTGATGCAATAACGGCTAAATCGATGTATGCCCAAGCTGTCTAGACTTCGGGAGCTAGACGGCCCGTGCTGATGTGGACCCCTGCAGCAATTCCATATGTAAGGTACCCGAACTCTACCCAGGTGTTCTCAAGATAAATTAAGCGGCTCCATATTGGGTTCATGCAGAGCCCTGTCTATCCAACCACAGAAGTGTGCATCCATTTCCCGTGCCTCGGCGAGCGCGACAGTGTAAGACGAACACCTGGTCCATCATGCAGGGCGTAACAGACTAGCTACTGGCAAACAAGCTGTCAGCTTACGCAATAAATATGAAGTGTCGAGGCGAGTCTCCCATGCTTGGCCTCGGAAGCGAGGTGGATGTTACCCAAGTAGAACAGACGTTGAGGAGGGCATTGATTGCACTGCTCGCCTATTAGAGTGAGTTACGGAACGCCTTACAAGATCGTAGGATTCTTCAAAGTGTGCTTCGTGTTGGTGGCCAAAGTCGAGCATTAGGCCGTCAGTCATCGTAGAGTGACTACTACAATGCGGCCTTGGCTCCCAGGATCTTGAGATCAAGGTCACAATCGGTCTGGGCAGTAATTCCTAGAATGGTAGGCCGCAATCAACGAGAATGACCGAGGCAGAACCTACGCGACTCTCCTATACCGGATGGTTACATTCATCCTTCCGTACGGACACCAGAAGATGAAGCCTCGTGCTGCTAAGGCTAGCGCTGCTAGGATGCTGGGGGCCAACACTTCTACCACTGCAAATGCCCACAAGCACATCAGGGGCAATACAGAATCTACACATAAAATACGGGGACCAGTCAAGTCCATCAACTCAGTCCTCTACTCTGTCCTCTCTACTACTAGTCAGTCATGTTCGCCTTCACGCTCGGCGGTACCGTGACCACCCTCTCTGTGCTTGGCCTCTGTACAGGAGGGCTAGCGGCGACCTCACGTATCCAGTCACGCAGCGGGAAAACACCGAGCCTGGCTTCCGATCCAGCAACCACGTCCTACTGCTCTTGGTGGATCGACTACGATGGTTCCATGACCTGTCAGGAAGTCCTCGACGACAATTGGATTGAGCTAGATGCTTTTCGCCGCTGGGTATGTACAGACAAAACACCACCCTCGATCTGCATGAACTGACTGCTGCTTAAGAACCCTTCTATCGGCGCTGACTGCACTGGACTTGTGTCCGGCAATAGCTTTTGCGTCGAGGCTGTCAAGGAGCCCGCACCAACAACTACCCAGAAAACGTCCGGCACACCTAGCTCATCGCGTTCCAAAGCCAACACGCCCACTTCCAAGCCCACGTCGTCCCCTTCTCCCGCCCAACCAACCTCTTCCAGTGTCATTACTAGCAGTGCCACTCCGACTTCCAGTAACGGCGTGGCTACACCATCGCCCGTTCGCCCCGGGATGGTGAGCAACTGCAAAACCTTCCACTTCGTCGAATCGGGAGACAACTGCGGCACAATGGCTGAAAAGTATGGCATAGGCACTGCCGACGTTATTTCGTGGAATGGACTCAACAATGCATGCACCAATTTATGGCAGGACACATATGCCTGCGTGGGCATAATTGGTGGCTCACCCAGCCCTTCTCCTACAACTTCAGTTCCGTCTGGCAATGGTGTTTCGACTCCGACGCCTGTGCAGCCACGGATCGTGAAGAACTGCAACAAATTTTTCTTCGTTGAATCAGGAGATACATGCGACGTTATCAACCAGAAGACCGGTGCGCGAGTAGCCGATATCGTTGCATGGAATGGATTGAACAGCGGATGCACCAACATCTGGGGCGACACGTATGCTTGCATCGGCGTGATTGGTGGCTCGACTTCGTCCACTTTCTCATCTTCTCCAAGTCCTACCCAGTCCGGCAATGGCGTATCGACGCCAACACCAGTTCAGCCAGGAATAGTGAAGAACTGTAATAAGTTCTTCTTTGTTGAAGGAGGATATACGTGCGATGTCATCAACCAGAAGACTGGTGCCCGAGTAGCAGACATCATATCGTGGAATGGATTGAACAGCGGATGCACAAACATCTGGGGCAGCACATATGCATGCATCGGTGTCATCGGCCAGTCCCCGACCACAACTACACCATCCCCAACGCAGACGTCCAGCGGACCCGCAACACCTTCACCCATCCAATCCGGGATGACCAAAGGCTGCACCTTGTGGCACTTTATTGGCGGTTCTACGACATGTCAGCAGGTGCTGAGCTACCAGAAGATCACGTTGGCGCAGTTCTACAAGTGGAATCCGGCTGTAAAGGCAGACTGCAGTGGCTTGTGGAAAGATACCTATGCTTGTGTCCGCGGACCATAGTCGTGAGGGAAGTCAGCCAGATCATAAAACCTTCTGCTTCGTGAGCATAGAGGTTTGATCATGTACTTCAGAGTTCTCCGATTCTTAACAGTTCCGCAGTAGTTTGCACGTTGTCTCATTTCGTAGAAATTTCACGTAATTACCCCTGCTCCTCCTTAGGAATGTGTTACATTGCGGATCTGCCGCGACGCTCTGTGTTTTATGCTCTCAGCCTTAGGACGTCTTCTTTGAGGAGTCAACTTGTTCTTTCTTCATTGTCGTGCCCAGAGTCACGTAGCTTGACTGTTAGTTCGATAGTACTTGTACATCTATTTCCTCTTTCGCGCGCTTAGCCTAGCCGCAGAGTGCTTTTATGTCTAGCTCGACACGCTGTCTAGTCTTGCGCTCAAACAGAGATAAGGATACGTAGACTGGTTCAGCTCCTTGCTGTACTCTACTATCTACCGCTCTGCCTCATGGCTGTTCGAGGCTATCGTCCTGTGTGCGCGGGGATCAGATTCTTTCCTGCCTTCTGCCTTCTCGTTCCAGGCTCTACTGTCATTATTGTACCCCTCGTAGTGTAGGAGGTAGTACGCAAATGCTTAGCCTTAGCGCGCAACTCTCAGGAACAGAGAGCAGTGTCTATTGAATGCAAAACAACGCATGGCTTAGAAATTGAATCGAACCAACGAGCTGTCGTCGTGATATCTCGTTCATGCCAGATCCGCGAGAGAAAAGTTGTCGTCGCTCGCTGGATGACTGGTGCAAAACCATCGACGTAATCTTTGACCGCCTGCAGTGTGCTAACGCGCGCTTCCGTACCTCTGACTTCAATGGCTGCTACTATGAACGGTAGCGTGACGAATCGTAGCGGTTGCTTCGTCATATGCTTCGTAAGCTCAAGCTCCCTCATTACTTCATTTGACCAGACATCAGCCTTGTCATCTTCGCTCCCAAAGTCGTGTCTTAACCTATGAGCCACCAATAGTGCAGCTAGTCGGTAAACCTTAGCTTGCGCAAGAAGATGGACGAGCTCAGTGGAGTCGAAGTGGTCAAGTATCTGACGTGCGTGCGACGGGATCCATTCATCCACGGCGGTATAGATTTTGTCCAGCTGAGCATGAATGCGGGCTATGCAACTTGCATCGGTCTCGTTTGACAAGGAATGGCTGATGATGCAGAGATCCTGAAAATGTGGCAGTAAAGGCAGGCAGAGGCCAAGCTTTCTATCCACGCGCTCTTGTAGCTGCTGCAGTGCTCTTGGTGTTGGCGACCGGCGATGTGTCAAACATTCCATCACCTCGAGAAGTTCAAGGAAGCTTTTCCATGACTCCAGAGGCAAACTTGGTGGCGTAGAAGTTATGATTGGGCTCACTGCACTAATGCAGTAGTGGCAGATATCTGCGACGCCGTAGCCAATGCTCGAATAGACGAAGAATGCCAATGTGTTCCCGAGAGCAAGGCACAGAGTGGCGTCCTGCTCGGTCGTGACAGAGAGTGTACGCAATGTGCTCATGGCGGGGGATGAGAAAAGGACTCCCGCGTTTCTAGCGACTTCTTCGCCAGTGCCATACTGGAGCGATTTGAGCCAGACAGCGCATGCAAGGTAAGCATGCTTGAGTATTGGCAGTGCAAAAGGTAGCAAAGCTGCTAGTGCCTGTTGTTCGATGATTGCAAAACTGCGGAGCACGACTAGCGACTGAACTCTCTCAGGCTGACCCAGCAAGAACATTAACAGCTCTTTCTCCTCCGCGCAAATATCATAGTCGGGAACATATTGCAACTTGGTGCTCACATCAATTGACGCTGGTTCCGATTTGTTGAGTAACGTCGAGCTCCTCTGCGAAACCGTCCGCTTACCGTGTTGCGGTCGACGGCCAGATGGGCGCACTGGCCTGTCAGTTGAGCAGTGCAAGCGCAACCGCTCGCATCTGACGCAAGTCGCTGTAACGCACTCGCGAACACATCGCTCCTTGAGATCATAACATCGGTCGCATGCGATGCGGAGCCTCCGTGTATTCGCTGTGTCCTTCGCCATTCAGGCTCGCGTCCAACCCCGAAGGATTTGCCGAGTCGATAAATTAAGATGTGCGAAGGCTCACTGCATGGGAAGACTCCAGATTTAAGAAAGTCTGCCGCGATCGATACGCAAGGGACCAAGTGAGAGAATGAGTGAAGCCTGAAGAACCAAACGGTACGCTTGACCGGAGGTTTGGCCGGAGGTTTGACTGGAGGGTTGAGATTTCCTAGCGTGAAATGACTCATGCTAGCGCTTACAGATCAGTATGGTAGCGTAACCTGAACCCGTTGGTCTTTCATCTCCTACATGGTGCCTTCTATCACGCTCAAGCTATCATCAAAATCATCTATTCTTGTTCGCATAGCGGCATAGCGACCGGAACCGGAGGTTTTCAATACATATTTGGAAGCCGAAACAAGCTGGTCCGCCCATGATGTCGCTAAGTAGCTCGACTCTACCTAGGCACCCTGGGAAGGTATAAGTACAATGATGAAGAAAGATAGACGTAAAGCAGGCACCTACTCCCACATTCTCATCTCAACTTCCATCTGCTATGTCTCTAAGAATGCGAGACTATCGTGTTATTGCTGCTCGAAAGCAAACCGAAAGAAACAACAAGATTCCTCCACAGTGGCTGATCGACTCAGCGCTACGCAATGCCACGAGCGTTCTACATATTCCCATCACCTGCGGCGTTCTGAGTGATGTCGAGTGCGACATCACCTCAAAGTTCGATGCCACGACGCTTCTCAAGAAGCTCAAGGAGGGAACCTGGTCTGCTGAGCAAGTCACTACGGCCTTTTGCAAGAGGGCTGCTATTGCTCAACAGCTAGTCAGTCACCTGGCTGGGCTTCCTGAGATGGTTACTAACCTTCTGGCGTAGGTCAATTGTCTCACAGAAATATTCTTCGGCGAGGCGATCGAACGCGCCAGACTCCTCGACAAGGAACGCAAAGAGAATCCCAGTGACGTCCTTCCACCCTTTTGGGGCTTACCCATCTCGCTCAAAGATAGCTTCGACATCCTTGGCCATGACTCTTCGACTGGATTGGCCTGCTACGTTGGACAGCCTGCAGAAGAGAACAGCTCTCTTGCTGCCATGCTACTCGACCTAGGCGCTGTTTTTTACTGCAAGACAAACGTTTCGCAATTGACCATACCTGCCGACAGCGACAACAACGTCTTTGGCAGGACACTAAACCCTCGCAACCCTACCTTGACTGCTGGTGGCAGCACCGGCGGCGAAGGCGCCCTCATTGCCCTACGCGGGAGTATACTCGGCGTCGGTACTGACATTGGTGGGAGCATACGTGTTCCAGCACTTTGCAACGGTATCTACGGCTTCAGAACAAGTGTTGGACTGATACCTCACGATGGAGTTCGCAACCTTACAGTACCAGGTGCTGACGGAGTACGCTCTTCCGTAGGGCCTATGGCAACCTCAATCCGGGATTGCTCCCTATTTATGAGAACTGTCATGGAGTCAGAGACATGGAAATACGACAGCACAATCATCTCGCTGCCATGGCGGAATCTACCAGTCAAAAAGAAGCTCTGCATTGGCCTGGTTGAGGACGATGGCATCTATACGCCGTCACCACCTGTTCGACGTGGCCTCAAGAAGGCTGCTGACCTTCTTCGTAACAACAGTGAAATTGAGCTTGTTCCTATCACTTTGCCAAACACCAAGGAACACTACAATGCTCTACTCCGGTACTTTTCGTATCCAGGAAGTGATGTATGTTGCCAATACCCCACGATCTTGGTTGCTGACTGATTTGCTTCCAGCACTATCGCGAACAGCTCGCCAGGACTGGAGAGCCAGAGGTACCCTCACTGAAAGCGATTCAGCTTTTGAACTTCGAGGGAACGTCATTGGAAGGCCTCTGCAATCTGAACGTGCACCGAGCAGCGGCTGCGAAGCAATATCAGCGCTTGTTTCTTGATTACGGAATAGATGCAATTCTCATGCCTCCTGCACCACATACAGCCGTTCCTCTTGACCATTGGACAACCGCTTCCTACACCGGTCTCTGGAATTATCTCGACTTTCCGGCTGTGGTTATTCCTGTCGATGATGTAGCAGCGTCAGATGCGTTAGACAAAACAATCACCGCGAAGTATGGGCCTGAAGATGCGAAGGTCTACAGTCTATGTACGTACAGTTTTCGTCATATATCCCACCTGCTGACCATCGCTCGATCCAGACACAGGACCAGAGTTCTTTAAAGATACGCCAGTGTCTATCCAGCTAGTCGGATACAGGCATGCAGATGAGGCGCTCTCGAATGCAGCTGTCCTTATCGACTCTATTATCAATACATCGACTGGTAAGTGATAGAAAGGTTCAGGGACTCTCCAAACGAATTTTCGGATCCAAGTAGCCTATAATTCTTTTCTCTATTGATTACATCTCTCTATTATCACCTGGGCACCGTCGAGTGTATGCTGTTGTTTCTCTTTGGTCAGCGCACTAGTCGTGTTCTGTATGGGCAGTGACATGGTCTTGACAAACGTCAGCATTAGCATCCAGGCGGTGTGTAAGCCGCAAAACTGCGCAATGACTGGCAGCCAGTACAGACCTACGCGCAGCGTGAAAATGACTCTCAGGGCCGCGGGACGTTCTCTCTTGTCTCCAGTCTGCATCTTGTTGTAGCGCACTTACTAGCCTCCGAGCTGTCAGGGAACCTTTTCTAAACCGCCGTAATCCATCAACTAGCCGCATCAGGACTAGACGCAGCTCTCGTCCGAGGCGCAGAGGGCTATGTCCTCATCGTTCAGGCAATAGCATAGGCTCACCCGAGTAAGGCTGCCACTGTTCATAGCTTCGTGGACGGCTTCCAGCGCGTCTTCACCGCTATAGCGAGCGTGTTAGCAAATACGCTGGCAGTCAGTCCGAGGGTTCAGAAGTCCAGCATTGCGAAGGCTCTGCCAGTATCGTACGCAGTGCGACGACGCGCCGCATAGTCAAGGATAGCTAGAGATGGTTAGAGTGGTTAGCGATTGTCTGTCACTAGAAGACTCTTGGAAGGTCCAGGCTGTAAAGTCTCGGTCTGAAGGCGCTAGTTGCGTTTCACAGAATGTCAAGCACTCGATTAGTAAAGCGTAACTCGACAACCGTTCCTACAAATTTCGTGCAGCGACTGGTAAGATCGTGGAATGAATGTATTAGCTACGAAGAGGATAGCAAGTTCTTTCCTAAACATTTGTTTGTCCGGTACACTCGCCTTCAACGCCCCTCCCTGGCGGAGATGTATTCTAGATGTCCCACGAATGAGTCCTTCCCCCTGTTATCTGACGAGCTAGTCTCTTCGATCTTGGAAAAGGCGCCAGGGCCATCAAATTTGGTGCTCAAGCGCGTCTTCCTGCTCTGAGTCCATGGACCCAAAGAGAGGGTTTTGATACCGGGATTTCCACCATTGTGTTTGTGCTCCACTATGCTGACAAGCCGATTAAGGACAGAGAATTCAATCTTGAGCTTGACGCTGTATACAGCCGTCTTGTACGTTGTTTGAATCTCGTAGTGACCGGAGAACTGGACAGCAAGGAGGGTGATGTCGAGGATCAGGACTACAATGTTGACGAAGATGAGGTGTCTGAGTAGCTTTTGTAGAGGTCCGCGGCCGTTGCTATCAGTGTCGTGCCCCAGCAAACGTACCGTTTCGTAGATGTAGATGATGGATATTATCAACTCTTGGACGCAGATCACCACGATCTGGACCTTGTCGTATACTAAAAACCCTGGCAGGAAACGAGCCGATTGCTGAGAGTTTGTACCCATCGCTAGAACCAGAAGCGGAATCCCGAGGACGATAGCGTTGAAGATGATCATATATTTTACCCAACGTGTCTGAGACCGATCTCGGATAACGAGATGCAGACGCGAATAGAGAACGACAGATTGCCCTATCACCATACATCCCCAGCCTATGCCCACTATCGCGCTCGATAGCAGGTCTAGTGTGGTGACCTGGAAGAACTTCAGGATGAATCCAACAGCATGAGGTGCGATACCCCAAGTGGCCACGACAAAACTCCAGAAGTATAGCCCGCTACGCTTTTTGAAGATGGCGAAGACGAGAAAGGTAAGTTCGATGACGTTGTACAGCGCGATGGATAAGAATGCGACCATCGTCATGAGGATTGGGAACGATGCATTTACCCCTCCGACCACGCCCACGTCCTCCTCTTTTGCCATGGCTGAACGCGAAGACCGCGTTGTGTTCGCGCATGTGCTTGTTAGAACAACGTCGAGGGGATCGGCGGCTAGGTATGCCCCATCAGCGGAAGGTAGAGAAAGAATCCGCACTGAGAACTAAGTGATTGAGGAATGTCGCGTTTGGCAGACTAATATCTGCTGCTGAAGGCGATCAGAGGAAGAGGATGAAGGCGAAGTTCGCATTCCAGGACCGACTACATCTTCCATGGGATCTTTTAGACGTCTTCGCTCACGGCACTTGATGAGCTTTAGATGGGCTTCTAGGATTTGTGGCGCATTCTGGAGGTGTCGCCCATAGCGATGATCTTGTTCACCATAGGGGGACGGAATGAATTCCCCGGCTTAGGTTCGAGCGCTGATTGGCCTGGCAATTGTGTCCAGGTGCAAGCGCGCTTTTGTTGGCCCTGTGCAGATGTCACGCCTGAATGCCAGGATTGGTGGCGCCATAGCTGCATGTCTTCGCGAGAGGCTTCCAAGGTTCATTTATCTGTCCAAGACTACTAGTACACAGGATGACTCGCATGAACCGCTCCTCTTCATAGCAGACTGCATTTTGGTAACGTTATCACACTGTTAGCTGACATTGTTCACCGATCAAGAGGCACGACTTTGTGAATAAAGTTCGACTAGTGATGGGCTGACGCGCAATCAGTGTGATCAATCGATTGACACTTACTCGGCTTCAGCCGCATGGGTCGTTATCCGGATTCATGGGTGTAGACGGGCGGGTTTTACGCCAGATCAAGCCTTCCGGCCCTATGTCACCGAGAGATCGGAAATGACATTTGCTTATTTCCTCACTTTCTAGCGCACGATCAAGTCCCTAGCGCTCCAGTCGATATGATTCGGATACAAATGCCGAGTTGTTCCTGCATAGAAACGTGGTTTCGAGCCATCGAAGCAGCAGCTGAATCAGATGCCCTGCCTGCCTGCCTTGGAGCGAACGAAAAAGCAAGTGCATAGGGCCCACGCGTATCGACAAGGTTTTCTGGGGTACCGCGCCCCAGAGCATTGGCGGCAAGGAGCGAATAACTGGCGTTGATATTCCCCTGCGCTAGTGCTAGCAAGATCTATCGCTCAACCCAGTCTAGCGTAAGCCCCATCAGTGTCCGCAACTTCTCTGCCGCCTCCGTCACAACTGCCGCCCACTTTTGAAGCTGCCCAACCTAGTCACAACGTTATCGATAGATAATTGTGAGGCCGCTTCACGGAACCCATTGTATGATCTCGATCCCAGTATTTTCATGAATCAGCGACAAGCCGGTCCAGCATATGGTGTACTGCAGTCAACACTGCAGCGCCGGCTCGCTGGCCGCGATTCACACGCGACTGCCCACGATAACGACTGTAATTGACTCTGGAACGAGATGAAATTACTGTTGACTGAAGTCTTGATGAAGGTCTATGCGCTCGACCATGTAGTCACAGTTGGTCACAAGAGATGATATTGTTGCATCGAGAGCATACGAAAAGAGATCACAGCTGAGTTCAAGTGAGTGAATTCGTGTTTGCCTGAGTGTAGATTGTAAGAGCTTGGTCATAACGATGCTGCGCGACGCCGCTCGATTGCAGATGGTTCCAGCATGCCGCGACGCTGATGCCTCAGCCACAGCGGTCAGCCACAGTGGACAGTCATCCACGATCTTGCCGCCGGCTTTCGCTGCCATAGCCGACGTTGACGGAGAGCCATTGCCGATAGCACAATTCAATGGGCTAAACCACATCTATGCTACCCAAATGCTGGGCGCTTGGGTGCCAGCGGGCCGATCTGGTGAACCTGGATTGGACGGGTTCCGCTCGGCGAGCATGGCGACATAACGGCGACCGCTGTGCCAGGATCATGACTAGATGTGATGCGCTGCACATGAAGGAGTTGGTGGAGACAACTCTGCGGCTCTGTAGATTTGCCACTTCGTGAAATTGGCTGACCACACATGCAATTATGATGGAACCTTGGAAGTCTGGTCATCAGCTGACGCGATACATCATGGGCTAGACACAAGTTGATCTTCTCAAGCTTCGGCTACCGATACAGGCTCGGAAGCCACGCATCGTTCCAAACAGAAATCTCGCACACGTGATCAAAAGTGGTATCGCAAAACATTGAGCTTGCTACTAGTGTGCTACTACGAAACGCTTGATGCGAATGCTGTTCCACCACTTCGCGAGGAACCGGCATCTCTCTCTACTTTTGAAATGGTTATTCAGTCTTCAGATCGCCACTGTCCCAACTCAGTCCTGTCTAGGGTCAGCTCACAAATAGAGAGAGACGACCAAAACTCCAAGCTTGCAAAACCAATCATTGTGTGCACAACCGCTCTATCATAGATCAGATAGGCATGGATAATAAGCTCGAGGTTGTATCTGGCATGTCGAGCGCCCTTGGTTGCGGTATGATTGCTACAGTAGCTCGAGGGTCTCGCAACTGTTCCGAAGATATTAGCAGACTACTAATGGTGTCGTGAGAACTTGAGAGGTAGCTGCTGAATTTCGTGGAGCATAGGTATAGATAACCCGACAAGACCCTCAAGACGACGAAAGGTCAAGAGTATACCAGTGACTAGTCAGGTATCATTAATGCGAACTTCGCCTGCGTGTGATGAAGGAAAGAGAAAGCAGAGCAAGATATCCATGTCGGTACCCTACGCTATTGGTAGACGATAGGCGATCGTGGTGGTTGATTCAGCACCCAATAGAATGAGTAGACCAAATCCTGTAGCTGTGGAAGGCCAGGCGATACGAACATTACAACAGTATCCGGTGTAGGCCAAGCCAACCACAGTGGCTTTCACGACACCCGGTACCACGCTCAGTGCACATGTTAGCAGAACAGAGACCGCCGACTATAACACTGTCTTAGCCGTAACGGCCTGATACAAATGTGACAGCTATTGGCGTGTAGAGTATAATGAGATCAGATGTGTGAACACACTCGTTGATGTGGCGGATGCAGTCATTGACGTGAAGATTCGATGCTGTATGACTGGAGTGATCACCCTGCCCTTACAGAAGATAAGCCACAAGGATAGCTTTTTGAGCAGAATCGGTAAACGTATGTAAGGACTTCGAAGCGTAAGATTACCTGCCTAAATTAACGGAAACGCAGGCATGATGATTTCCGCCGCGAATAGAAGAACGTCAATCTTGTCAAAGCGCCGCAGCTCGCAAAGTGGAGAATTTTGAGGCGACCGTAGTCTGAGAAAGACCACAATCAAGGAGAAGAAGATTACAAGAAGTGGCATATTAATCTGTCTAATCCAGCACCAGCTAACGAGACTACTAAACCTACCGCCGACAGTCGGTCCCAAGACGCTACCTATCGCATCAGGGATGGCCAAAAGTTCAATTTACAGTGGACACTTCTACAGCATCGATATGTTAGTATAAATGATATAACTAAGCATGTCTGAGCCTCCGTCACCTAGGCCTCGTGGAAAACAACCTGCAACAACAACCCTAATGTTTTTTGCAAGAGCGAAGACTACAGAACTAGTGAGGTGGCTGTGACGGCGAGGAGATAAGAGATAAGAGCCTGGGACAACTCCAGCCGAGCACCGTTTATATCCGACGTAATGCTCTATGATGTTCAGCAATGGCTTAAGAAGACAACTGGGTGGGCGCCCATTAGTGTCGCCACTACTAACGTAGTCGCATCGAGGGCATACAGGAGGAGGTCAGCTAGAACAGCAGCGAATGTGAGATAGAAGGCGATAAGCTTCCTTCGAAGTATCTCAGTACTTAAAGAGTTACTGATCTGCTAAGGTGCTAAAACATCTGAGGTGCGCTCGCACTGCGCGACTGTGCTGCAGCGGCGACGAACTGGCGATGGGAACAAATCTACTAACACTCAACGATGCATGTATGCTGAAAGGGGCCTTGCGCTTAATAACGCGGATCCGCTCGAGTGTGCTAAGCTTGGAGTTCTCTCTTATATCTGTTGCAAGTGTTCTCCAAAGTTTTTACGCTGGCGTTACCTTATGTTAGTAAAATTCTGCACATGATCCTACATCGTTAAGAATCTACCAACAAGGGTCCCGATAGACCAAGTCGACTAACCCACCTCTGTAAACTTTCTCCATCAAATGCAATGGGAGGAAACAAACAAGATAAGACATTACGATAGTGATCCGAACTTGTTGCATTATCATTACATCTATAAACATTCATCATCACCAACCACTTCTCTAAGCGTTGTAAACAGAGTACTCGCAAGCCTCAGGCTTCGTCTCCTTGACAGCCCTAGCATTCAGCCCAACACAACCCTCACTACCAGCCGGCTTGTCATTGCCCGCGAGCCAGACCTTCCATCCTGTCAACTTGTCCCCGTCAGCCGGGGGGCAAGCCTGGAACGCCGTAACAGCACCATTGCCGTTATCAAAGACCAAGTCGCTCGTCTCGGTGATCTTGAAAGGACCCAACTCCTGGTTTTTGCCAATCTGTAGAGGGAGACCGGTGCCGTATTGGATGTTACCCTGGCCCATGCCGGAGCGGTCGACGAAGATCTGCTGGGCTTCAAAGTTGTCGGGTGTGTCGCCGGTGTAGAGGAAGAGGAGACCCTGGCCGTTGAGAACGAAGGAGGCGTGGTCGCGGGGGAGTCGGGTGGTGCAGTTTGCGCTCTGGAAGTCATCGCCGATCAGGAGGTTGTTGTTCTTGGCTTGGAAGGGCTCGCATTCGATCTCGTTGGCTACCTTGGGGAGAGCCACGAGCTTGAAGACGTCGCCGGGGACGACGGCTTCGGAAATGGGGGGCAGGTTGCAGTCCTTTGCGGATGCGAGAGCCATGGTGACGGCGGCGATGGTGGCGGTGGCGTACTTCATGTTGAGGTATGTTTGATGGCTTGTTGAGTGAATTGGAAAGTGAAGGTTGGATGTCGTTGTAGATTGTGTTGGTAGGTTGTGAGGTACTGCATCTCACTCTTTATACGTCTTTTGATCTCGTATGCGGATCCATTGTAACCTTATCAACCCATGAAGGTGGTCCCTCTCGGCGCCGATCTATACTGTAATCCGCAACATCGTGAGCTCATATGACCGAGAACACGAGGCTTCGTCACCCCAGCAAAGGCCAACGGCGCCACACCCGGCGGAGAAAATACCCACAACCCCGTATACACGGAAGCTGCAGGAAAGGAAACCGTGCATCGGGGGCAATGTTTGCAGGGTGACGATTAGTGGTTTGTGGAATTAGGTTGCGATCGGCAACACACGGATCGGAACATGCGCATCACTCGCGCGTAAAAATAGAGTGTGGAGTTACCGTCGCTGCCGGTATACGGTGTAGCACAACAACACTACGTCGGTCGGTGTGTTGCTCACCGTTCATTCTGCGAGGCTGTAGCTGTGGACTGTGACCTAGAACAGAGCTGTCCCGATAAGGAAAGATAAGCGTACTGTTCATGTCGCCCGAGCACACGGCCAAAGTCGACGTAGGTATGCAATTAGTGCCATCGCAGCAAAGTCGTGGAAAATGTTGATGTTGCGGTCAGCACTACCTGGATACCTGGCCTAGCGCACACAGGCAGGTCAATGATCGCCAAGAGGCTGGTGCGGAGGTACGAAGACAGCAACATCTAACAGCGTCTTCCCCTGCTTGCGCAGCGGCGGCAACAACGTACGAGTAGGCAGCCTTGTGGCAAGCACCGCAGTGAAGCTCACGCACATCGCGATGGTATTGAGTGTCGTATCGCACTAAGGCTATGCTTGTGCTGGGGTACATGAGATGGTGGTGAGGACGACACATATGGATAGAAGCCTGCCAAGGCTCGTCACATGATATCTGAAGTGCTAACGTCGTGGTGACCAACATCTGATTCGCCGCCCAAAAGGGTTTAGGGTTGTCTTTGAATCATCTAGAGGAAGTCTAATTTATATAGTAACGGTCACTACGGTGAGCTTCAAACAACAATTGGATTGTAAAATAGCCTGGGTTTCGTTTCGCTGGAGCTCGTCTCGCTCACCGCCCGCTATTGGAGCCCCAGGTAGGCGCAATACAAGGAGACATGCATTACCATCAATACATCTACGTTCTACTCTAGCATCGTGTCAACAAAGCGGACACTTCAAGCCTACCCTCCCCATCATCTTCCCCACCTCTGCATTACCCCCCTCCGCATTCTGCTCCTGCCCAACAGCACCACTCTCTCTCTCCAAACACCCACGATGCCACAAATGCCTGCAAGCAAAGAGGACCAAGCTCTCTTCCTTCTCCTCTCCCTCATTCTCCTCTAGAACATCCGCTTGACTAGGCCTTTTCCCCTTCGCCTTGCCACTCGCCTCCCCATCGCGCCCAGCACTACCGCCACTTTCCAGCCTTGCCTTCATCCTAGTCTCTTCGCGCTTCTCCCAAGCCTCCCACACGCTCCCTCCCGCTCCCGGCCCCCAACACCTTTTTTTGCAGCCCTCACACACCTGTCCTCTGGGTCTCCAACCCCGTTTCCTCAGCTCGGTTATCTCAGCAACGTGTTCAAAAGACTCCTTGTCTAAGAATCTGTTTGCGAGGCTTAGGATTGTTTCTTCGAAGGTGTACGCGGCGAAGATTTCTGATAGGACGGAACGTAGGTCGGAGAGCGAGGGCGAATAGGTGCGTGAGGCGCGGGTTAGGAAACAGCGGAGGATGCGAAGGAAGGAGGGGTTCGATTGTGGTTGATTAAAAGATGGGCGCGTAGCTCGCGTCTGGGTGCTTGTGCGAGCTTGATTGGTTGTTCGAGTGGGTGGTATGGTTGTTGATGTAAGGAGGGCAGAGAAGGTTTGTTGGATGGTGGAGCGGAGGGATGATACGATGCGGGCGGTGTCGACGGTGTCGGCTTGATCCATGTTCGTTGACGCGATGGAGGCGTCGTGGCTTGCGACGGCACTTGATGTATCTCTGATGAGGCGTACGGATGTATCGACCAACTCGAGCCATAGTAGCTCGTCTGGTGCTAAATCTGCTTCCCGGACTTCGCCGTATGCAGACTTCCGCCTGTCAATGGCTGACTCCAGCCCCCGCTCAGCTGACCGCGTTTGTCCCTGGCATAACCAAATGCCGACTTTGATGTACTTCTGGATGTCTTCCAGGAGGTCGTGGACTGCTTCTTCAGTATTGGCAACATCAGGTGTTTCTGCTGCGGCGCCGATGAGGCCTGTCAATGCAGTCTCGAGCGTGCCTAGGTGCCTCACCAGTCGATCCATGGCACCTTGGACGAGGCCGTCACGAGCCATCAGTATCACGGCGCCGTCGACGACACCGCTCTTCTCCAGCGCCGGTAGTACGGGATCCAATTTAAGATCACTGGACTTTAACGAGCTGACAAAGTCTGCAACGTGTGCACTATTGTAGGTACACATGAGCTGGACATAGCGTTCGATGAACCCGGAAGGAAGATTGTCGTCAATAACGGTTTTCGTATTTACCTCGTCTTGACCTGGTTCAATCAGAGCCTCGAGATAGCGGTATTGGGCATCAGGTTCGGCCTCGATGGCGTCCAGAACCGGCTTCAGCAGGTCTGGCGCATATTGTTTCAGTGTAGTCGCAGTTTGTGATGCGTCCACGGCGGCTAGAGCGGTAGCCCGATCGACGATGACTGCCTTTACCTCGTTGACTTGCTTCTTGACGAGACCTTTGCTAGGCCGCAAAATGTCAGCGATACATCCAAAGACTGCTTCCTCGTCCTCGTCATCAACAAGGTATGTTTCGAGCAGTTTAGCGTATTGATGTGCACCGCGATAGACAGATTTCAGTACGCGATGGAAGCCTGCATTCTGAAACAGTGGTACAAGGCTTTGAGTGTTGGGCGGATGATAGATGGAAAGCAGATACTCCACTGAGAGCTGGCAGTCCTCTTTGATGGTGTCAGTAGGATATTTGCAGAGGCCGACAAGGATTTGGTGAAGCGAGGTTCCTGGAAGCATAATGTGTTGCGGATACTTGGGCAGGTTTCGCGCGACGAACATGTAGAAGTAGATGATGTCTTCCGGGTCAAAGTTGTCCGTGTTCATGATGCCAAAGAGGTAGTTGATGATGGACTGGCGCGTTGGCGTGAGAGCGGAACCACGCCGCGTCCCGTTTGGCTGGGCTCCGTTGGGCGAATCTTGTTCGCCATTCAAGAAGCTGTCTTCGAAGGCCTCGTTCAGCATACTCATGAAACTCGAAGCATCAAAGTCTAGTATGAGCTGCAGATACGGGAACGGTGGCTCCGCACTGCCATCGGTCCGTGTGAGGATGATCTCGTCCGAGCCTGGTGGCCATTGCAGGTTCTTGCCAGAGAACAAGAATCGATACATGTCCTTCTTCGCACTGTAGGCTTGGTCGTCATCCATGAATGTGCCTCCAGGATACACACGACCCGTGAAAGTATATGCGAGATATGGGAAGATCTTCTTCGCGGCAGTAAGGTAAATATTTTCATCCTCATCCACATCAAAGTCCACCAATTTGATGAGCTCTAGAATGTTTGTGAGCGGCGTAATGTAGTCTCCAATGGCTCTTGTCCACACATAAATCAGCGCATCGTACAACACGTATTGCTGACAAAGTGTGGTGACTTGATTCAGATCCATAGTACCTGTGTCGAGCCGGCAAATCATCTCTTCAAGCTGCGTAGAGCGGTTGTGCGATGCATAAAAGGTTATGAGGTCTTTCAGGACGTTTGGTGGTACTGATGAGATCTCATCATCTTGAATATATGGCTCAAGTGTCTCGAAGAAGGCCTTCTCGGCTGACGCTTCTTCATACGCATCGTAGACTTCTTCAAATAGGAAGTCATACTCCTCCATACAGATGAGGCCCGTGAAGACCACTTCGGCAAGTTCCTTCGATCGTCGCTCATATGTATCGCTGTCAACGTCATCTTGGCGAGAAAAAGAGTACTTGAGCGACGCTGTTATCATTTCGAGCAGCTTCGGCCGAACTAGAGCATGTCGAGCTTTGTCGTCTTCAGGCAACCCAACTGTAAGCTTATCCGCGTCGCCAACGTAGTACGAAGTCGCGAGGCCAATAGCAGCTATATAGTCGCCATCTTCCATCAATGCCAGCAGACGATCAGCCCAATTCGAAAGCGTACCGATCGAGCAGTCGTTGAAGCCAAGAAGGAAAAGCCGACCCTTGTAAGCTCGAAAGCTCATGTAGAAGGCATCTGATACGACTCCATGCAGTGACGGGTCTTCTTCGTCAAGATGTTCAATAGCGGGCTTGAGTTGTCGCGAAAATAGATCCGAGTGGTATATGTGCTTCTGCAGCAAGTCGAAAGAGTCTGTCACGCGCAATGTATTGTCTTCCAAGATCATGAGTCGCTGGCTGATGGTCAGTACGCTGAGAACTGATCTGCTAAGCCACTGAACTGCAACAATAGCCTCTTCGGCCTTCCAACGACTTCGGGGTCGAAAGTGGAGCTCTGTCGGCTTTTCTCTTTCCGATGGAGGTGGTAGAATGTGATCGACCTCTAGTATGGTAAGGACATTCGACCAGCAATATACGAGCTTGGTCTTGGAGACTGCATTCCCAGGACCGGTGGCGGTTTTCAGCTTGACAGCAGGGAACCAGGCTAGGCATCCACTCAATGCGCTGTGTGCTTCCACGTCCTTTGGCCGAGGTGCCTTGTGTTGCGTCTGCGCAACTGGGGTAGTCGACACTATCACGAGCAAGTAGGGCGTCAGAAGCGCGGTCAAACCCATACTATCGGTGGGTTGTTCCACATTTCCTAGTGGGAGCGGAGCGAAAGCCAGCACAGAACTGGGTTTCCGCGGCTTCTCTAATGACTTTTCAGAAGTTGGGTATCTGCCCAGGATCCTCGTAGTCTTGACTGTGCGTGCGATAGCTCCTAGGCCACGCGTTGCAAGATGGGAGAATGCCATGCCTGCATCATCGGCCGAGACGAGCGCTGTATGCCTGGTGCCGAGGAAGCCCAAATGAAGGATGGCGACACCAGACACATGGCCATCCGACTTGTGATCCTCCAGGTTGGCCCTTTCGAGGGGCGGAATGTGAAGGAATGGCTTGGCTGGTTTCGCCAACTCCCAAGTGAAGATGTGACCTGTTGCATGCCCTCCAGCGATAGTCGAATGATCAGCGGCGATGGCTAGCGATGTGATAGAGCCGCATTCCACGGCCTTGGTGCCCGGTCCAATGATGGATTTGAGGACCTGCTGATAGTCGAAGATGAGGATGAAACCTTTCGACGTGCCTATTGCCAGCGACACCGTGACATTCAGACACGTTGGCCGACCGAAGTTGCGCTTGCCGATCTCGGAGAAGACCTGGCTAGTTATCTTCTTCAGCTTGGTCCATCGCACGACCTCCCATGGCGCCTGAGGTGTTTCGGACCCATCATCTGACAATTGGTGGAAGGCGGCATTACTCGACACGGAAGACTGTCGCGAATGCGGCGAAAGGAATGCGGGTGACTGGTCACGGGCCGGGGACGACAATGGCGAGGGCGACAGGCGCGAGGAGAAGCGGCGCTCAAAGGGCTGTAATGAAGTCGGACGGTGGGCGCGGAGCGAGTTATGCGATACCGGGACGCTGCTGGTTGGTGAGGATATGCCGGAACCCTGTCTTGGTCAGAGGACTTCCATGTCGTTCCAGAAGACAACATACTTGCACCGAAGGCGTATCGTCTGGTATATCCGTCGACGCAGGGCTTTCCTCGACTGTCAGTCTGGGCCGTACAGACAGCTCCGAAGCCGACTCTTGCGCCTCTTCGTGTGTATTCCTGCTCCGTGTCCGGAAAAAGGTCAAGCTCTCGGGGCCGTTGTCTAGCGACTGAGCGTCGTCGTTGTCCTCCATGTCAGAAGCGCCCATGGCGCCTTCACCCATGTCTATCTCATCTCCATGGTCGTTGTGAGCGCTGGAGTGGCTCTCTCCCGAATCTGAGCTCATCTGCCTCGTTCTGCGCAAAGCATTGCTTCAGGCGCACATCAACTCTTTCCGCGGTATAGCTTCGTGATTCGCAGGTGTTGACCGTGGGCGACGCGGGGGTCTCGGTCGTGGTTCGTGGCACTGGGGGTGATGTGGCCTACGGGGAAGGAGGATGAGAAAGTAGTCTAGCGGCTAGAGCGGCAGCCGAGCGTGTATGCCACGGATACAGACGTCAGTCGAGGTTGTGAATGTCGCCCACGAGGGTTGGCAAGGATGGCGCGTCGGTGGAGCTCGAGGCGCAGTTCGCAGATCGCCGCAGCTGCCGTACCGTTGGGTGAAGGCCCAAGCTCCTGCCGAACGTCACTTCCACGCGACAACCAAACGCGCCGCGTACAGTCCAACAACCTCGAATCCACAGCCCACAATGCCTTCAATAGGACCCGCAATGCCTCCGCACCTGTCCAAGCGCAGTCGCGACGACGACGACCATCGACCATCAAGTCCAGAATCCACAGACAAGCGCAGACGAGTCATCGGCCCAGCACCTCCGCCTTCCGCATCCTCACCACCGCGTACATCGGGGCCCTCGCTGCCACCATGTGCGCCATCGCCATCACCATCACGGTCCAGCAGCGCAGACAGCGACGTCGGTCCCGCGCCTCCGCCAGCTCCAAAGCGCGTGGTAGGACCCGCCCCACCACCAGCGCCTCTCGACGAATTACCACCCAATCCTGCAGACAGCGACTCAGATTCGGACAGCAGCGATGACGACTTTGGTCCCGCCCCACCTCCAGCTGGGAGTATGTCTTCAGGCTTTGACAACAACATGGCGACGTCCGCATTCGATAGCGAGCCACAATTCACAGACGCTCCGAAGAAGGCACAACGAGACGAGTGGATGACACTACCGCCCACACAAGACGACCTCGCCGCGCGAATGGACCCAACCAAGATGCGCGCGCGCAAATTCAACTCCGGAAAGGGCGCAGGCAACACAGGCGGCATGAGCAGCGCATGGACCGAGACACCAGAGCAGAAGCTCAAACGACTGCAAGACGAGGCCTTGGGCATCGCCGCACCTACAAACGCTGCGCCTGCGACATCCGAGTCGAAGCGCACCAAGGAAGAGGAGAGGGGGGCGCGCAAGATGCGCGAAAAGATTGAGGCGACCCGAGGCAAGAGCCTAGTTGAGCAGCATCAGGACAAGGGTACGGGTAAAGAGAAGGAAGACGATCCAAGCAAGCGCGCGTTTGATTACGAGAAGGACATGGCTGTGAGCGGGAATCTGAATCATAAGCAGAAGAGGGAGATGCTCAGCAAATCGAAAGGTTTTGGCGATCGCTTCTCAAGCGGAAGCTTCTTGTAGTTGCAATACATGCTACGTAACGCACGGAGCTTCGAACGGGCGCGCAAAAGCAGCACATTGGTATCTGAAGCGCCCGTCTGTTCTGACACTCATGATTTAAGGACTTTGTGTTCCGCAGACTCCTCGTCAAGCAGCTTCGCAATAGCATCATGATACTTGTCGATTCCACTTGGCCTCGACATGGCCACCCAAAGATCCTCTGGCACCTCCACGCCCTTCTCGAGCTCGCAGGTCAGATTCCTCGTGAACAACGTCAATCCACACCCGGCTTCCCTAAACGTATACGTAATCCAACAGTACCCCTCCACGCCGCCTGACCCATCAACATTTTCGGCAATCTTGTTCACCTACCGTGAGAAAAGTAAGCGTATTGAGCTCAGCGCGTTGGTTGGCTTTGTTCCACACTCATGGCTTGTACTTACCTGTCGAAATGCGAACTTGCGGCCGCGGCTTGCAATCTCCAACACCCACTTTGCATGATACGTGTTTTCCGCCAAGGCCACCTTTTCCGTCCAGACGTCGCCGACCTTGAGTGGGAGATTAAGTTTCTTGGCATCGGATGGAAGGCCAGCGCTGCCTTTGTATGTGCGGCCCCAGTTCACGGGATTGCCTACGAAGTCGTAAATCACGTCTGGTGGGTAGTTGAAGATCGTCTCGGAGGTCACGCTCATGACACCCATGGTATTGACTTGTGGGAGCAGTAGACGTAGGAGTCGGGGTGGTATTGGAGGGAAGTGCGGATCAAAGGTATCGATATCGTGGTGGTGAGGAAGACTCGAAGCAATACAATGACGAAACGAGGTCGATGCTTGGTATCTCGCGAGCGGTACCAAAGCTTATCTTTTGTAGTACGACATCGTCATCGTCGCGGATGCAGCAAGTACCAGTCTTCAGATGCCTGCCGTCCTTCCGAGGTACATAACCATAGTGCGCGCGGGGTAGAAGCACTAAAAAGACGAGCGAAGAAGTAGCAGCATATGACAAATACGAAGACAAGTCTTCTACATCCTTTCGCATAGCCATGACCGTTTGGATATGTTTCACCAGACCCGGCCCCACCATGATGACGTCGTTGTAGACGCCACGGTAGTTGTCTCATCACCGGTGTTGTGAGCGAACGGTAGAAAGAACAGATCAATGTTATGGTATAGAACAAAGGTCACTAGAGTTACATGCATAGCAGGTATACGCAGAGCATAGCACATGAAGAACGAAGTATGCCGTCTAACAAAAACAAATAGAGCGGCAAGTAACACTAACACGGCTGCTTATCCGGATTCAATGTCTCATCGACAATGTGGTCTCCTACGTATCGCTCACAAATACACCACCCGCTTCCCCTTTTCTCCAGTCGATCCATGATTGTCGAACACTGCCAGATACGTGGCAGTCCCTCCGATGTCACGAGCACCTCTGCGACACGGGGTCCACGAGGGGCGCCGACTTCCTTCGGCCAGGCATAGCGGACCAACTGGTTTTGATAGCGCACAATCACGCCGCCGGTCTCTTCGTCGCGATCAACGATATGATTCGTTGCATAGCGCTTCACACCCGGGATCATAACGCTGTATTTGTCCCGAAACAGGGCCCTTATTTCCTCTTCTCCGCGGACGCTCATGCCAGGGAAGTGTGCCTTGGCGTTGGGACTGAATTCGTTTGCCATTTGCTCTTGATCGTTACTTTCAAAGTAGAAGTTGACTCGGTTGATGAAGTTGATGGCTGAAATCCATTCATCGGCTGTCACGGTGCTTGCCGTAGTCGAAATAGGTAGGAATGCGCCATCTTGATCGAGCAATGACATTTTTGGTGATCTGAGTGGATTCATTCGGCGAATGTCTCAAGGGGAGGGTATGGATGGATGTATCGATTGTGATGAGACTAGGAATGTTGCGCTTCTTAAATGCCTGCCTTCCAGATAACACGACTGTTACCAACATTTCGATGACCTACCACTATCATGACACGCTCTTGTCTGCCAAGTTGATCACCATGTGTTAGAACCTCGATAGTACGGTTTGTAAGAAGTTCTTCATGTTGGCGCACTACATTGTTATGTAGCTCGGACGAAATACTGGTCCGGTCCTGGTAGATCACTAATCCAAGACAATCGCTCGCAATGCATTGCGGAAGGGCTTAGTGTGCTGCAGCCTATGGCATTGTTCAACCTTGTGTTGCAATTTCGTAGATTGGTTATCGCTATTGTGAGGCTTGGCAAAATGCCGCGAATTCGCAAGTGCGTTACAAGATTTAGTCTTACTCTTCTCGGGCCGACTATCGTGAAGCTAAGTCATCTTATTTGCTCGTCCGTTATTCATAGCCATACTGACTAATGCGACTAAGCCATAATGTCAATGTAGGACTGTATTTCTGAGGCAGAAGCACAATGGATGCGTGTACAAGTATCGTGTGATCGTTCGGCTATGACCAGACCGCATCTCCCATCCACTGCGTCTCGTTCTGAAAATCTTACTTACTATACAATTCGTCACATCCGAAGATACAGGCCTGTTGATAGTCCTCTATTACCCAATATGTCTGCAAACAAGAAAGTCTTGCTCATCGGCGTAGGTGAATCGACGTTTCTCGCAGATCCCCTGCTAAATGGCTATACGTGAACAACCTACCAGATCTTGGAATGCTAACGAACGAGGAACACAGGCAGGTGGAGACCTCGGCGTCGAACTGCTGGACGAGTTCCTCAACTCAACATACGAACTAAGTGTCATGAGCCGGAAAGATTCCAGCGCTACGTTTCCAGCGGGCGTCAGAAACGTTTTCAAAGTCGACTACTCGGACCTATAGGCCATCAAAAGCGCCATGAAGGGCCAAGACGTGGTCATTAGCAACGTGGGCTTATCTGGCGCACCACACCAGCAGATCTTCGTCAATGCAGCTCTCGCGACCGGTGTCAAGAGATTCTTCCCTGCTGAATATGGCACTGATACCCGGGATTTCAAAACCAACGAGATCAATCCTTACAGTACACAGTACAAAGCCGCGCTGGTGCGATACCTGCAGTCCAAGGAGAAAGGAAGCAGCCTGACCTGGACGGCACTTATCGCTGGTGGATTTACCGAGTGGGGTCTGAGACACGGCTTCTTTGGCTTCGACTTCAAGACCAGGACCGCGACGCTCATCGACGACGGCACAACCATGTGCTCTCTCAGCCGGATGCGGACAATTGCTAAAGCTATCCGCGGATGCATCGAAAACTTTGAAGAGACGAAGAACCAATACGTCTTCATCGCTTCTTTCCACATGACGCAGCGCGATATGCTCGCGGCTATCGAGAAGCTTGATGGCCAGAAATGGACAGTCGAACATACCACGTCTCAGGACTTACAAATTAGAGGCCATACGCGGTGCATCAAGGGTGATTGGATGGGTATTGCGGATCTAAGTATGGCAACTGCGCTCGGGAAATGGGGTCTCGTGGATTGGAGGAACAAGGATCTTTTCAACAAGAGATTGGGATTACCAGAAGATAGTTTTGAAGGTGCAGTTCATTCTGTCATGGAAGAGTCTCGATAGCGGTCAGATAGAATGTTTAGTAACCTAGCTTGTTAGTGCTTGTCAACGCGAACAATCCAGCATTAGTTTACATGTACGAACTTGTGCGAACTTGTACGAACCACAGCTACATGACCTCGGATCACGAGCTAATCATGGCTTCTTAGGACATCAGTGGCAACAGACCGTCAAATATGGACTAATTACTGGTCGGTAATCCAATAAAGCAGGGTTCCCTGGCCAAAGGAGTCGTATCCTCCTGAACTTGACCCATAAACGCCACCACCGCCCTCGATGTTCGCAGTCAGATTCTGGGTAGCGAAATCGCGATACGCCCTGGTACAGGATTCATTCATGCCCTGAACATCGTTGCATGGCGTACATATCTTCTCAACGTGAATACATTCAATAAGGAGGTCCTGGACGAGGTTCCCGTCAGCTGCATCGATGAAAATGCAACCTTTATACCACGACTGATGTTTGCTATGATGTAAGATATCGACGTTGCTTATTTGAATGTTGTAAAACGGTTCGGGCTACTGAGGATTTCCGTGAGTGCCTATCTTTGCAGTATGCGTAACGTCTGGTAGCAGTGTACGATTACGAATAATGGTATCCTTCGTACCGTCAGAGTACTCTGAGCAATGGCCATAGATAGCGATGCCGTCGTCGAATCTGCGCCGAAGGAAGTTTTGATGATACCATTGTGGCAGTAGAAAGCTACACGCTATCACCGTTGCCATAGCTGGAGGACGAGCGGCACCGATTGATAGAGACATTGTCACCTTTGATCACAGGGAGACCGAAACCAGATGAGCTGGGGCGCGTCAATCGTTCCACTAGAATATGACTCGATCGCTCAATGAAAATAGCTTCACGGTCGAGTTCCCTTGATCTCCCAGATGCAGAAGTCGCGTGTGCGCGTCCAGGTCAAGAACAATATCACAGCCCTCGGATGCTGAAGTTCTTCACGTTTATGAAGACGTCTTGCGCAATAAAGAACGCGCCGCTTGCTAAACATATCGTTGTATCTGATGGAATGATCGGCTGCCCATCAACAACGTTTATCTAAGCAGGACGGTTGTTGATACCAGGTCCGGAGTATCATACTCCCGTACTCTCACAGTGAAGCTCATGTCGCACGACCAACTCATGTGACGCATCGTCAATGTCGTTCCTATCGAACAAGCAGCTTGTTTACGTCGTGCTTGCATCTGACATAAGAAATATCTCTTCTTCTGTTTGCACGTCCGTGCGTGGTAGTCAGTCCCGTTGCATTCTCAACAGCGCTGTAGAGCTGGTTAGGCTGGTTCGTGATCACGAGCTCTCTTAGATTGCTGCGGTCCTGCAGAAGCCTTAGCTGCTTCCCGCGCTGCAGCAGTCCTATACCCCATAGTTTCACCTTGCCAATTCCGCTTGTGCTTTTGCGATTTTCGCTTGGGTATCGCTGCGGACTTGTTCTACAAGCTCGTGGATCTGCGAGGCTTAGAGCGCGTTTCGATGCAGCATCAGTCCACCACCCGTCATGAGCTGAGAGAAGCCAGCCAATGCTGTAACAGACGAACGAGTAAAGAAATTGTGTACAATTCTTGACAGAGATCCGCACCCATGAGTATTGCTTGGAGTCTTAGACTGCCACGGTGTTCCTAGGAGGAGGGGTTCTGGCGGGGCACGCAGCCGCACTTCAAGGCGATCCAACACAGCCTGCGCGTGGATGAGAACTAGCTCTGCTGCTCCAAAGACCATTAAAAGCTTCTGCTCTGTAACCACAGCGAACAGCGCGTCCTTGAAAGCGGGAAGGAAGCCTTCCTTGCTGATGTGGCAGACGTTTCGGCGTGCAAAGTTCCTGACGCGCTGGGAGTACTTGCTTCGTAACGACGCGGTACATCTTCCTCCTTGTACCGCGCCGAGATGTGGATGCATTCGTAGCGAGATTGTATGACCTGCAGACTGCAGCGCAGGTGCTTACTCCCCTGGGCGGCAGGGTCCGTTGGTGTTGGCGGGTAACAACCTTGGAAGACCCCATTTAACCGTCAACATAAATTATCAACCCTTCCCACGCTCCAACGTGTTCAATTAGTGTCCTTCTTCACTTTCCCCTACCATGGCCTTTGATCAAGCCGAGTTTATCACACTGTTGACGAACTACTACGAGTTTTGCAATCGAGTGTTCTGGGATAATTCGGTCGTCGCGGAAGCGCCCAGCAATGGCTGGCCATCGATCACACAATCCATCATGGCCAATCTGCACAAGACTGATGCAGTCATCGACTTGCTTCGCCGCATGCCTTTTGTAGACTTTGTTGAGTCAGACAAAGCCTATGGCAAGCACGTCATCATGGTGAACACACGGATCCAGGATTACCGCAGCGAAGAGATACAGAAGCGGATCCGCGACGGGGATCTCGAATACTACGTGGAGCCCATATGCGATCCCTTACCGTCGTCATGCATCTCCTTCGGCAACAGCAACGGGCGTAACGGCTACAATCTCGTGATCAACACGGCCGATGGCTACATCTACTGGGGGGATCCTAACGGTCAGCACGACGAGCCAGCACCAGAGCTCAACGCCGTGGTGCAAGAGCACTACGCTGGCAACGAAGCCGAGCGTTGGCGGGAGGGTTTCAATGTTTATCACCCACGCGAATTCTTTGCGCTCTGCAAACAGCGGTTCCACGAGCTTCGCTGGATCGGCCTCCAAACAGATGTCGTTGAGGCGATACCAATGGACTGTGACTTTGATGACGCGGACGAAGAGTTCAAGAGGCTTGTGCGTAAGATGAGAAGAGCTGGGTGGCCGGGAGATGGGGAAGGACGGAACTGGGACCGAGAGGCATTTCGAGCGGCGCTTGGGGTGTATAGCGATGAAGAGGACGAAGATGCTGTGCGAGAGGCGGCAGAAGCGCTGGACGACACTCACGTTCACTAAGTGATGGTTGTTAATATAGAGAGTTCGAAGGATTTCGCAAGACAAAAATTTAGGCTCCAGGCAGTATCACTAACGTGAGATTAGCGTTACTCTTAGAGCAAGAAATATAGAATTGCCGGCAAATCTATACCACTTAGCTTACCTCTTTACCTAAGCTAAGCTGTTTATGCTGCGCTTATGACACGGGATTGGTTCGATGCTCTAGCGCACCTGATTCTAGGCTGCAGTCTTGGACACGCGCCTTTCAGCGACTACAAAAGCGAACCGCATCCGCTTCCCCATCGAATCTGTACCCACAACACGAAATTCACCATGAGCAACCACGACAATCGCCTATCCAGAAGCCTCGGCGCCATTCTGGGTGTCCATGCTGGCGACTCTCTCGGCGCAACCCTCGAGTTTGAATATCATTCCACCATCAAGCAAAAGTACCCAGATGGTCTGCAGGAGATTGTCGGAGGTGGCTCCTTCTCCTGGCCTCCCGGACATGCAACCGATGACACGGATTTGACGCGAGCCGTCCTGTTGGCGTACTCGGATCGCCGAAAACATTGCGAAACAAGAGCTGGGCGAGAAGGGAGCGAGTTCGATGTGGTCAAGGCTGCAGCCGACTACAGCCTCGCATGGCTGACTGGCGATTGGCCTGACAGAGAGCCAGGAAGCATGCCGGTTGACATTGGATGCGCGACTCAAACTGGCCTGTCAAACTACGACAGCACGGGAGATGCAACAAGGAGCGGTGCTGGCCCCGGAAGCGCCGGCAATGGAAGCCTGATGCGCTGTATACCCACCGCGCTCTTCTCCGATAGCAAGGAAGTGAGAGTGCGGGAGAGCATGGCCATCAGTGCCATTACCCATAACGATACCCGCTGCACCGTCTCGTGCGCTGCCTACAACGAGATGGTCGCCGCGCTGGTTCAAGGCAAGAAAGTGAGAGAGGCCGTGGAACAAGGCAGATTGGTCGCTCAAGAGCAGGGCCAGACACATGTCGAGGCTGCCATATCCCGGGGCGAGACGCTCGATCTGGCAAAACTTGCAGACCGGGGACCAAAGAGCGCGGGATCAGACATAACAACGGGATACGTGCTCAACGGGCTAACGCTGGCTGTTGCTGCATCGTTGGACCCGAGATCTTTCAAGGACGTGCTGGTCGATGTTGTAAGGCTGGGTGGGGACGCGGATACGAATGGTGCGATTGCTGGAGGGGCTCTGGGGGCGAGAGATGGCAAGGGGAAGATTCCGGAAAGCTGGCTAGAGACATTGCAGTTCGGCGACGAGTTTGAGGAGAAGACGAAATGGCTGTTGTCGGAGTGAGGTAGTTCAAGAGAGAGAGCATAGGAACAAGGACTTAGATAGCTATCTAGGTTCCACCCGAATCAATAGCCTTAATCTATGTGCAAGCCACTAACGCTTCGTGCTGTGAGCATGTGAGCGTGTGCACGTCTTTAGTAGTTGTCTTTGTAAGTGTCTTGTTTAAGGTGCGCTAGAGCACGCGCTTAGCGATCTTCTTAGTAGCCTTAGTAGTGACGTCCTTAGCATAGGGTGGAAGCTTCCGCTGGTGCCTTTGCTACTTTTCCGGAAGCGCATCGTGCGGGGTTTGGTGTGTATCGTGTGTATGTATTCAGCCCGACAACAACCTTGCTGCGGACTACTAGATGAGGAGGTCTTGGCATCTTTCAGCTCGCTTTGTTGTTAAGTACATGTTATCCCAGCTCGTCTGGGGCTTTGTCTCAGCTCTTGCTCAGCTTTGGTGACGGCTTGGACTTGTTGTATTGCTTGATTGTCGTGGCTTCGTCTTAGTATCTTAGTTCTCCTTCCGTGACGTTTATCGAGAAGAGCGTAGGCAGGTCAGGCTTTCCTGCCAAGAATTCCTTTAAGTAATTTCTAGCGATACAGCGGGGGCTGAAACTACTAAGTCCTGCTCAGCTAGCAGCATGCAAGAACTATGGTGCTTCCTGGTAGCTTGGAATGGTCGCCGTCCCGCTATCAGTCTGGTGAGATCAGCTGGATAAATGAATACACGGACCCTAGGCTGTGGAATTTGTGTTCTAGCTCAATCACTTGTATCAAAAACGATGGTCCAGCCGCTGAGCTGAGCTGAAGTTCCACTACATCCGCGCATCGTCGAATGCGAAAGGGAAAGCGAGAAAAAGTGGAGTGACTCAAGCCACACCAATCCCCGTGGCTTTCCCTCTCCTGATCTCTATTTTTGAAAACGAGCGACTAGAAGTCTAACGCAAGCCCTCTGCGGAGAATTCCAGGAACTTCTGCATTAACCAAGCACAGCGAGGCGGCTGTGTAGGCGGATATATAAGTATGCTGGAGAGGGGAATGTCTCATGTTTGTACATATTTCAAGCTCGTTTTCTATTTTCTATAAGCTATAGCAAACTATTCGGATCGCTAAGATGTTCTTCACTCGCTTCATTATTGCGGCTCTGACTGTTACGACTGCTCTCTCTCTCCATGACTTCCACGCATTGAACCCGCACGTCTTCGGAAAACGACAAGAGTACCAACCGTCCACATACACATGCGGCGCCGGGGCCACATGCGAGATAGCTTGCGGTGCTGGATCTGTCGAATGTGGTGACGCCCTTTGCATCAACCCAGACCTGGGACACGTGTGCTGTGAACCAGGTTCAGCCGATCCCTGTAAGTGTTCTTCACCAACCTTGCATCGTTTGCGTTTCTCTCTGCTCACACATTCTCTCAGGGGGCTGCCTGGATAATGATTACTGCCTCGTCGACGGCTGGTGCTGTCCCAAGGAGCAGGATCCCCAGGCGTGCGCTCTGGCCAACGGCGTCACTTTGCCCCCTGATTTCGTCGGCCCTACAACTACGGCTGCTGGCTCGAATGTGACTTCTGTTGTTGCTTCGCTGACTTCGGGAGTTGCGAGGCCAACTTCTGGAAGCACGAAGCCGACGTCGGTATCGTCTGGACTTCCTGAGTTCACTGGAGCGGCAAGTCTGAACACCGTTGCTGGTAGGAGTGGGTTTTTGTATGCTGTTTTGGTCATGGTGGGCAACGCGTTCTAGGCTGGTGGACTGCAGGCGCTGGAAATACTCCCTGGACTCGAAATGAAGTACGTAGCCTTGGTTTTCAGGCGCATGTCTTTAGTTGCCTACTTTTGCCTTGGGTAGACCAGGCAGACGAACGCCTACACGATTGTCACCCGGTGTATCTAGTTACTGTTCTGTGCTTCATTAGCTCAATAAAAACATGCTCCCGTGATGGGTGTGTATCCCATCGTGCGTTCTTCTTTGATCACAGCTTCTATTGGCTAGCCGAATTTCGCTCTTGCTTTTGCCTCAAAACGGATTCAACACAAGTGGCGAGCAGATGTGGATTAGTAGCTCGCTCGTCTCGAACCATGAAGGACTAGCACGTCTGCCTTGCTGCCACCCTACAATCAAGAGACTATGATTGATTCGTATGCTACGGGAGATAAACACATTCTTCGCTAGCTCGGCACGGTGTGACGAGTCAAATGAGGAGGCTAGGGCAGCTGCCAAGTGTCTCAAGTTCAGCTGAGGCTGTTTACTCGTATCAACGTCTTCATATCTCGTGTTTCCCATTCTAGGCTGCTTTCCACCGCGGAAATGTGATCGCTGTTGTGCAGCCGCGTACATTGGTACCGGAAAGTTGTAGCAAACCGGATCGGTATGATATCGAAAGTATGAGATGAACCAGCAGATTAAACTAGTGATGCTACATTTTGTGTCGGTTGCCCGCTGTCAGAACGTGTTGGCTGAGCTGCATGCAGAGCAGAGTCTTTCTGAGATGCGGAGAATGCATGTTCAGGGAAAGGGGCATCGACAGCTCTGGGTTCCACTAGGATCTTCAGTTCCCATGCGTCGGGCTCTCGCTCTACCCAACATTTTCTGGCCAACAGGCTGTCATCCGTGTTTGAAACCTTCTTCTTCTCCTCTTTCTTGTCTGCCCTGTTCTGCTTCCTGTTAACCTTCTCTTGCTTCTTACTGGTTTTGTCCTGCTTCTTATCGTCCTGTTTCAGTGGCCGTCGAAGTCGACCGTCGAATCTAGGCTCCTCATGGAACTTTGCAATCACACGCGAAATGTTACTATTATGAAGCAAATTTGCAGCACCGACAAGTCCAATGGGCTCTTCTGCAAGTATACTCGGATACTTGTGGAGGTAAACGATGAGGTATATAGACTCAACAACAAGTATAACGAGGAAGGTGATCATGGCAATCGCCACAGGCTCGACAACATGTAATCGGTTCTCAGGTATGTGTAGAACGCCCCCCTGCTGGATCGGTTGTGCTAAGGTGGGGTAGAACTTGTCTAGGCAGAGCATTGTATAAACAGCGGGGTATACAGTGCTCGAAGCCTTGATCAAATTGTCCTCTGCGAATTCCAAGTCATGGTTGTCGATGTACCTAGCCACCAGTTCTGCGAGGCGATCCGGTGTGTTAACCTTGCTTCCTATGTTGATGGATTGTACCTTAGCGACGCCCTCTTCGAATTGTTGGCGTTTGATATCGGGAAGTTCTTCGATGCTCCGAGAAGATTCTGAGAAAGAAGGTGTTTCTGCCGATCGGTTCGTGGAGTCTGTCGTTCTAACCACGCCCAGTGTGCCATTGACAGTCCAGTATGACGGGATGCAGGATATTAGGGTCGGATCTTGCATTCCACCAGATGAGTCAACTGGAACAGAGAAGAGCACCAATCGTGTGCGACCAGCGACGTCAGGGCAGTCCTGCTGGGAAAACGCTCCGAGGTAATAAGAATCTTTGTTATTTCCGACAGCAATGTCTCCGGAGATCAAGCAATCGCGATCGGTAGCGGAGAAACGGCGATTTTTTATATTTTCCGTCTCCTTGTCTGTGGTAAATGCTGCGCCACTGATGACCTGACAATCGAGGGAAAGTTGAGAGGTGGTTGCCGGTAAAGAGATGGTATAGTTCTTGAGATCTCCTACGGGTGCCACGCTTGGAAGAGGAAAGTTTCCGTCGGTTCCGGGAGGATAAGGAGCAGTATGGACCCAGGAGGCAGAAACAAGGTCAAAGAGGAGACCATAGTCGACGACGGTGATATCTGTAGTCCTATCGAGTATAGATCCTAGACTGAAAATTGCGTTGGTCGCAGGAAGCTCTTCCCCTTCGGCGAAAAGACCTCCAACCAGCGGTACCAGCCCAAGTGATACCACAAAGGAAAACAGCATGCATAGGCCAAGAAATGTATGTCCATTCTTGAGAGCCTTGGACCATGCTACGATGCTGAGTGACGTGCGATAATCAAGATATATCGACTTTCGTATCTTGGTAGGCCGATCAGATGAGGACTTGTGTAATTCGACGAACGGTGCGTCGACAACGAGAGCTCCGACGACAGCTTCACGGAAGAGGCGATAGAGCGTGAGCATAATGAACGGTAAAGTTGTCCATAGCAGGGGCTGACCACGCTCGAGTGCGCCTTGTTTGCTGAAAATTGCGGAGCCGGATCCTCGAAAGCCGACGTTCACGAAGCCTGTGTGTACCTCCGACAGAACCCAAAGAGCTGCGATAGCACAGATTAGACTCACTTCTGCGAACAAAAGAAGAGACACTACCCAGGGGCGAAGAACGATGGAACGCCATTGAACTCGCTTGGGCGGCATGATGGAAGACAACGCAGAGTGTGCGTTCGTGATATTGAGAGTAGAAGTTGTCGGGATGCAGGTTGAACGCTACCTGGAGCGGCAATTGCAGTGGACTGGCATCTTGCCTTGCTTTCCATTGTTATCTTGTCTTCTTCTTCAAGCTGGACGCACATGTAACACATTTTGGAATAGTTTGACAGTGGCTTCGGCCAGGTCCAACTCATTGGCTGCTAGGTTCTCAGCTTTTGGCCAAGGCACATGTGACATTCTCCTCTTTGGCCAAGGCTCGTGTTCGGCGGCTTTCCGGGTGAATACTGAAGTGTTGTGGATAAAGCATAGGGTACATTTGTGGATAAGCTCAGGATGTAATGGACTAACGTTCGACGGGACAGAACGAATGATTGATGTGCCAAGTGCCACGTGATCCAAGCGAGGCGCTAAAGCGATTCAGGGTCTCATCAGCTGAATATGAACGCCGACGACACGTTCTCCCGCAAAAACAAATCAAGGATACAAAAGGCCTAGACTTAGGCGATGCGAAATGGCGCTACGTTGGCGAGCGTTGGAGAAGAGGGTGAGGAGTTTGCTCGGCGACCTCAGCTGATGAAAGTAAATAAAACTAGAGAGCTATGGCTACCTGGGTACCAGTACAGCTCATCTGAGCGGACTTATCCGTCCGGATGGCAGTCCAACCCGACAATTTCGCCATGATCATAATCATTCTGGTCGATCTTTTGACCCTGACAGCGGCGCAATCAGTCACCGAGTCCATGATCTTGGATCCTACTAACTGCTTGAATACCGTTGTTACAATGAGCAGCTGTACCTCGATGCTCGATAAGCAAAAGTCGTGTGCCCATATAGACAACCCGAGCTCACAGGCGGACTGTTACTGTCAGCAGAGCGTGTTGAATTATATGGCAGGGTGAGTAGTCCACACGATCCGCAGCTTGCTCGTAGGCTGACAAGATTCAGCTGCCACCAGCAAATGTGGGACTGCTTCCCCAACTCAATGATCGACGGCCTCTTCGAAGGAACCACCGGATTCTACTACAGCTGGTCTACAGTGTGTCAAGAAGTGCTTACATTCTCGCCAACAACGATGGTCGTCACAAAACCACCAGCATACGACCAAGAGGACTGTCTCAGCTATGTATTGGATTGCGACAGCTTAACAGTGGCCATGACCTCGTGCAATTCGGCGTACAATACGCCAGGCACAGATCTCAACAGCTGTCTCTGCAACGAGGACATGCTGTATTGGGGGTCGCGATGCGACATTGATGCCAACCAAAGCTGTCTGAGGAAAACCTTGGATCCAACGGCTGTTTATTCGAATCGATACTGTGGAAGAACTGCCCAGTCGGGACCAGCAAGTCGCACGTCTCCTGCTTCGAGCAGCACAGTCTCGCGTCTAGAACCAACAAGCTCATATGTTCCGCCGGCGCCCTCGTCAGTGGCAGGTGCTGGAGCTGCGGCAACATCCGGACCGACAGGTAGTGGGGTGGCTCGACAGGCAGTGGACAGAAGCTCTGCGACAGCAGCATTTGCTCTTGTTGTTGCAGTATTCTTTGCCTAGTGTGTTGAACTAGGGTTTACTCGTCTTTGGTTGCAGTTGTCACGAGAGGCAACGAGCGGGAACGCCAAGGCTTGCTTCAGAAGCTTGATTGAATTCGCTACGTACGGTTCTCACGCATTTACAAGACGTTGCGTAAGGAACAGAACAGAAATTCGCAGGTCGAAGTACATCAGTGGTGGTGGCTCGTGCGCGTAGCGCCTCGGCAGCGCTTAGCCAATCAGCAGATGCTAGGTGTCAGGCAACCAGGCGGTTACCGTGACAGCAGTAAAACATTACGGAGAGCTTCTCGATACAAATTGTAGCCCAATTTCTGCCTAAATGCTGTATGGGCATACGTAGGAGTCAGTGCAGTAACGGCAGTGGCTTTGCTGTTTTCTCAAGGCAAAGAGGAATCGGGGGTAACACAACATACGCCAGATAAGCGGGCGTTCCATGTACTAGAGTAGCTTAAAGCATCGTGCTATGCTGGCCACCAGGGCTGAATTGACCGATCAGGTGCTACTTGGCATAGCGCGCAAAACCAGGCCGCTAATACCAGTCTAGATAAGCATGGTCCTCAGACCCGACCAAGATAAAGTCAGACCACATTTAATCACTGGCTAACGGCAAGCTACACTAACACTTTGAATTTACGTTGGCACGTGAAAGCGTAGGGAAGTAAGTTTCAATGAAGGCTTCATCATGTTGGATTACTCATCTTTCGAGTCCAGAATGCGCCATCTCTGTCATGTCCGGTAAAGCATATGGCCGATGATTTGCTGTATCTCTGCCACCTCGAATTTCTTTTTAACCCCAGAAACAAGCCATCATACACTACTAGTATGAAGAGCTCATACTCAATCCCGCAATCACATGTATGGAGATGTAGAGCTGAAGTCTGAGATGCTTGCATACTTGCACAGCATGAGCAGAAGTCGCTCCCGTTGGCTTGAGAAGATCATAAGACCTACTCCCATAGGTAGGAGGGCGAGTTGGCTCGACATTGGGCTGGCTGGCAGTTTCATATCCTGCATCAGGCGTTTGGATGAGATGGCAAGATGAGTATGGAGCCAAGCGGCGGAAGGAACGATTCAAAACCTGAGGCCTTTCATCTTTTCAACCCCTTCTAGAACCATCGCGCGGTGATTCTAGCAGAGTTTCACACGACTACCTTTTGCAATTCACTTTGGATTATTCTGGGCAAATGGCCAACTTACTTGGAGGAGTCATCAACACTTTTGAGGGTGTTGTTGACGGAGTGGGGCAGGTCGCTCAAATTGTCATAGGCAGTGCCGCAAGGACAGTAGAGCATGCGGTTGGCACAGCGGTGGAGGCGGGTAAAGTCGTCTCGACTGTTCCGTTTACATTCGTCATAGACCGCATCGGGCACGAAAGCGCCATCTTCAGGACTGCGACGGGGATATTCAAAGAAGCTGACGATGAGCCCCGCAAAGGGCTGATCAACGAAGTCTTGATACGAACTCAGGGCCTAATCGCTCTGGAAACATTTCTCGAAGCTGCTCATTGCTCGCGTCTCTGGTCAATTCGATACGCGTCCGGTGGTACGGGTAGCTGGAGATGTTGCCACGTTGGCACTGGGTTTGCAGACTCCGCAACAAACAAATCAATCAAATATCGCCTGCTGTATTTGATTGTCTGGTGAAGGCTTGGCAACCGCGCCGTATTTGGTTGTTTGATTGGTGTTTTGAAGCTGTATATTTAATTAATTTGCAAATATTTGGTGTTATTGGAAGGCTCACTAGTGAAAGGAAATAACTGTAAATATGAATGCATTCTGTTTTGGATAATCGGTGATCTTATTCTCTACGAAGATATCTCTGCTATATAGGTGTCGGATCCCCTCCGGATGTTGCTCGGCCCGGTACGTACTAACAACGGTACATACCAAACTAACAACAGTACACGGCTCTATCCGTATTGATTCCCACACTGGAAGTCTTTTCTTTTCGATAGTGTATGTCGGTAGTGACTGTGTATAAAAGCATCAAACATCAGAGCCTGTTGGCCTCTGTACCCAGCCCTCGACTCGGACTGTCGACTCATTCCTGTCGACGAATCGTTCAAGGGCGCGATTTGGTGATGTCTTGGTGAAGGAGTCTGCAGGGTTGTCTTCGCCATTGATCCAACGAATCTCAGTGATCTCGCGACGCTCGTATGACTGGCGTAGCGCCATGATATCGATCATAAGGCGCTTTTCCTTTGTCGTCCCGAGCTTCACAAGACATTCGTACAGGGAGTACGAATCGGTGCAGATAACTAAGGGAATAACAGGTATTCCGAGGCGTTCTGTGATCATCCTCAAGGTGGTTGCGATGGCGATGGCGATGTCGAAGCCGTTGACCATGCCATAGATCTCGGAGGCGAGCACGCTCCGTGTAACGCGCTTACACTTCGTCGAGCTATAGTGTATTACGTTGCCGCGGATTGAGAACGTATTGTCGACGTCTGTAGACTCGTTGACGAGCATCAATACGAAGCCTAGCTGCGAACTGAGGTCCTACCCTAGAGGATGTGCGCGATTGCACTACAATCGCGCTGTTTTGTTAGTAGCGATAAGAATGCGATAAGAAGCGAGGCGTAGGATCGCGGTAGTAGGATCGCGGTTAGCTAGCTACACTAGAGAGCTAGCTAGAGAAAATCGAAAGAAGCCATTTTGTGCAGATTTACGCCAGGATTTTAAATCTCCATTCGGTTTGTCGATAGCTGCTCTCCTTGTTGAGATATCTGCGCTCAAGTGTAGAGGTGGAGTTTTAATGTTCCTCACGTGACTGCACGCTGCACAGCCACTATTGCAGCGCTCTAGCCA